CCAACATCCTGTTTTAACTCTTTTGTGTCCATACTGAAACATGGAGTTGCTGGATCATAGGGTAATTCTGTTTTCCACTTTGTTTTTTTTAAATACCCCCCTGAGGATGTTTTACTGATTTTGAGAGAGAGAGAAGTGGAGAGGGAGAAAGAGAGAAACATGGGCGTGGGAGAGAAACATGGATTGGTTGCCTCCTGACCCCGACCAGGGGTCGAACCCAGGCCCGTGTCCAGAGCTGTCGGCCTGACGTCTAACGTCACACACACGCCGGGGAAAGCGCTGAGCAGCCTCGGGGGGCCCGCAGTTCAGTGAATCCAGACGTTTGCCCAACAGAGGCAGCGCGGCTTCCTAAGAGCGCCAGGCGTGAACTCGGGGGGTGGGGTGACCCCCCTCAGCCCAGTCCTCACCGCCCCCCAGAGGGTGAGCAAGGAAGGCGCGGGCGGGGTGGCAGCACCTAGAAGCAGCGGGTGAGGAAATGTGGAGGGGCTCACGCGACAATGGTGGGCCCAGTCTCTCATCTGCTACCCCCCAAAATCTCACTCCAGTTCACCCGTGTCTCCACATCACCCACGTCACCCCTTCGGACGGCCACCCCGGGGCTTCGCCTGGGTGTCTGTGGCGGCTCAGAGAATACCAGACGGAGGAGCCCGGCCTTCTCAGCCCCGGCCCCATCCACCCAGACCCCCTGCCCCGCCTTTCATGAGAGTTCCTGTTCGTAGGTTTTCCAAATGGAGCGGCATTGAAGCACTTTACGTTCTGGAGTAGCATCTTTGCTTCTACATTGTCACTCACCCCCAGAAAGGCTTGCAGCACTGTGACAGGGAGATTTTTTAAGAGGGCAGAATCACGACTCTCATACAACATATAATGATTATGTGTCCAAGATTCTGTATCTTCAACTTACACGTTGTTCTCAAGGGCCCCGGAAGCAACATCTTCGGAAAACGCGCTGTTCTTTGGGATGGGCTGTGCCTGCCACCTAGCGGTAGCTCTTGGTAACTGCAAGGCACACCACACACTGTCACGTCTCAGGCAGGGATGTCCCGCCATCTCTCCACACATTGGTTTAAAAGTCTCTTTTGGCATCTGGTCTGGGCTGGGTGGTTCAGCTGGTTAGAGCAGCCTCACGAAACACCAAGGTTGTGGGTTGGATCCCTGGTCAGGACACATACAAGAATCAACCAACGAAGGTATCATTAAGTGGAACAACAAATCGATGTCTCTCTCAAATCAGTTTAAAAAAAAAAAAACCGGGTGATGCAGTGAGGGTGGCTGGGGAGGGTGGTCAGGGAAGGCTTCTCTGAGGAGGTGACCTCTGAGCAAAGCCCAGAAGGGACAGCAAGGCACCCAGTAGTGTGGCATCTGGAGGGGAAACTTAGCCACCAGGGATGGAAGGCAAAGGCCCAGAGGCAGGCTTGCGTTTGGCCTGGGCAGCTGGGAGGAGGCAGGGCAAAGAGCGGGGCCGTTGCGGGGGGGCCCGCTGGGGTCTGCGGGCCAGGGAGAGGCTGGGTGCAGCCCCAAGGGCCGGGGCAAGCCCAGGGGCTGAAGCCCAGAGCAGCCGCATCTCACATTGTTTATCTGTGTGTTAGAGACACTCAATGGTTTCCTGCGCCTCCTTCACTAAACGAGAATGTGAAATATCACCGCGAAATGTCAGCCACTGATCCAAAATTTTAAAAAAGTCACCAGGGGCCAAATCATACACTACCCACACGACCCAGCAACCGTACCCCTGGGTGCTCATCCAAGAGGAATGACACACAAAAACCTGAGCCCCGTCCTTCGTCACTTCTCTCTGGGTAACAGCGGAAACCTGACAACAACCCAAACATCCCTCCGTAGGCAGATGGTTAAACGCAACAGGCAGGCACGCCGGGCTGGTTGGATGGGTCTCGGGGTGTCCGTTATGCGGAGTGACACAAGCCCCCCTCAAACATCACGTGCTGTAGGGTTCCAGCCGTACGGCGTCCTCAACACGACAAAGCCACAGAGACGGAGAGCAGACGGGTGGTGGCCCGGGGCTGGGGCGGTGGGGGAGGAGGGCGAGGGGGGTTGCAGGGGTAGCATGGGAGAGGCCTCTGAGGCATCGGAATAAGAGGCCTGCCTCTTGGCTGTGCTGGTTGTTACAGGAATTCGCACTGGGATGAAATGGCAGAGTACCCTTCCAACACGTTGTTCCAGGGGCTTGGGTAGTGGGCGGTAGTTCTGTAAGGTGCGACCCCTGGGGGAAGAGGGGTGCTGGTTACCTGGGGGTCCTCTGTGCAGCAGCCCCCCCATCTGTGGGCAATCTGAGCCAAGACCCCCAGTGGATGCCTGAAACCACGGGTAGTACCAAACCCTATTTATGTACATACCTACGATAAAGTGTAACTTATAAATTAGGCACAGCCAGAGACGAACAGCAACTAGCAACAAAATGGAACGGTTATAACAATACACTGCAATGAAAGTCACGCGTGTCTCTCTCTCTGAATGTCTTACTGCCCTGTACGCGCCCGTTTCCTCGCCGAGATGGTAAAGGGCCATGTGGCGAGAGGCGTTCGCGGCTTGAAGTGCAACAGCAAAACCAGCAGGAATTTCTTTTTCCTTCATTGCAATTTCACAGATAGGAGATCCGTCCTGACCGCAGATCTTAGCAAACTTAGCATGAGATGTTTTTTTCCTTATTGAGTTAAGAAACTTTACCTTTTCGCTTAAGAGAAGTGCCTTCCGGCCTCTCTCTGGCACGTTTGAACGGCCAGCATCGCTGCTCCTGTGCTTTGGGGCCAGTAGGGAGTAAGACGAGGGTGACTTGAATGCAAGCACCTCGTCGCCCCCCCTCGACCTCATGATACCCATGTGGCTGCCACGGGGCGGATGCACAGGGAGCCTCTGCTGCGCGGAGACGCCGGACACAGGGACGAGTCCCATCCGGACCGGCCTCGCGAGATTTCATCACAGCCACTCAGGACGGCCTGCCGCGGAAGCCTTATGAATTGTTTGTTTCTGGAATTTTCCATTTAAAATGTTTAGATGGCCATTGACCGTCTAAAACCATGGGAAGCATAAAGTGTACTACGTTTGCAACTTCGCGTGAGTATAATTATTTCAAAATAAAAAGTTAAAGAACCAGGGCTGTGGGCCAATACACACGGGGTGGGAGAGGCACGGTCGCTGAGCCAACAGATTTGTAACCTCTGGTTGCCACGACCAGGACCTCTTGTTCTTCAGAATCTGCCCGTGTTCCCTCGGTCCCATCTCCCTGGTTCAGAAGCAGGTGACAAGGTCAGAGGGAAGGTGCCCACGGCATCCTAGGCATCAAAGCAGCAGGTGGGAAGGTTGTGTGTTTGGGTGTCTGTGTGCTCTATAGATTCTCTATTGCCATGTGAATAATTACCACCAACTTAGTGGCTTGAAACAGCACCCACTTAGTATATCCCGGTTTCCGTGGTCAGGGGCACATGTATGGGGGGGCGGTGCCTCTGCTGAGGGTCTCCCCAGGCTGAGATCCATGTGTCAGCGGGGTCCTCCCTCATGGAGGCCTTTTCTGGGCCACAGGTTTGGCTGGGTGCCTGGGGTTTTTCTGGCTGTTGATTAGGGAGACCTCCCATGGGACCCATCACCTCCCACTACGGCATCTGGCTTCCTCTGGGCCACCAGGGGGGTGTCTTGGCTGTAACAGAGCCTCCTATGAACACAGTGCAATCACGGCAGCAACAATTCCATCCCAGTCGCGGCTGCTTCCCCCACTCACAGGCAGTGGGGGATCAGACGAGGTGTGTGCCACTGGGGGTCATTTGAGATTTTTGCCTACCTCCCTCACCCAGGTATGTGTCACCTGTCCTCCAGGGATGCTACCATGAAGTCCCCCGTCCCCTCTCCGTCTTTGCTCTTTGCAGCCAGGCCTGTCTTGGGTTTCTGTCCTCACGTTCACACCCTGGTGTGATCCCCTCCCCTGCAGTGACTTGTTTCTAACCCGTAGACCTTGGCGGAGGTGACAGGGCCGTCACCCCTGTGTTTTGCTTGAGCAGGCTCACTCTAGCGTCTGCACCTCCTCACTGGCTTTGGAGGCACAGAACCACAGCGACTCCCACAGCCGCGAGGACAAGGATTCCGCCCACCCCCGGGGTGAGCCTCCTGGGTGAGTGCGGCGGGGCAGGCAGCTACGGGGACCCAGATGGAACCGCACAGCAGGTGACATGAGAATTTGAGTTTGTGTTCAGGCAGCAGAGGGAGGAGCTTTAGTACTGAAATCTATACCTCCTGCATTTTTGCATGAAATTGACTGGGTTGAAGATGCTTGGTTTTCTAGGCAGAACTGTGTTCTGCAAAGCCCTGCAGGGCAAAGACCCAGGGCCGCTCTTTGGTTGGTGGGAATCGCTCAACCCAAATATACAGCAGGTTTCATTCTCAGAGGTTTGTGAAGATCGCAGCTGAATGCTCCTCGCCGCCCGCCCCCCCCCCGGGTTGCTTGCGTAGCACATGAGTTTAGCGTAAGCGAGGGGTCCGCCAGCCTTTCCTGTAAAGGGGGTTAGTAAATAGTTTCAGCTTCTGGGTCATATGATTTCTAGGAGATATATATATAAAGCCCTCTTAACTTAATCACTTTATAATTTTTAAATCTATAAAGTTGTCCTTTACAAGGTAACAAATCATAATCAGTTCCATGTTTTGCACAAATAGCTAAGATAAAGACAGCGAGTCTGAAGGTGATAGTGACGTCTCGTTCCACATTTCCTACACTTGGTCCTGCAGGAGCCCTGGCATCTTGACCAAGAGCATCGCCCATGCGACTGTGTCTCTATTGACACACTTCTTGCCACCCACAATTCCAGAAGCGAGAAAGGCCAAACACACATTGATGGCTACGGTGACCGGTTTCACATTTATTTTTTTCAAGTTTAACAGAGGAGAAAAAAAAAATCTCAAATTTGAGATTTTTCTTCAGAATAGTTTTATTGGTTTGCATATCATTTGTCAGCACTCAACTTTTTCTGTCCTACTTTGATACACAAATCCATTCATTCGCATTCTTCTTCGCCCCATATTTCATATATTGTAACATTGTTTTGTGGGTCTGAAGGCACCTCAAAGGTCGGAAGCTTGAGGTTACTGCCATTGGCCGCCGCATCCTTCAGATGCCGCACCCTGGATAGAAATTTCACAAGTTCCATCTCGAGCTGGTGTAAGGTAGTAAACGCGAAGTCTTTGCTGGGGGAAGCAGTCTGATTTTTCTTCAGTGTCGCGCGCAACGAACAGCCTCGAAGGCCAGGAGGATTCTTTTCCTGTCAAGAAAGACACGCAGGGTGAATAACACCGTTGGCTCTGCAGGTGTTGACACAGTTCCAGGACGGCTGGGTTCACCTAAGAGAAGGTGGTTCTAGCATTGCTCTAGTCCGGGGATTGGCCAAGTATGGACAAATCTGGCCCGCCGTCTGCTTTTGTCAATTGTCAATAACGTTTTATTGGAACTCAGCCCACAGCCATGCTCACTCACTTGCGTACTGTCTAGGGCTGCTTTCAGACTAAAATGGCAGAGGTGAGTCACTGCAAAGCTGAAAATATTACTATCTGGGCCAACCCTGCTCTAGCCAGTCTGGACGTCTCTGGAATCTGTGTGTAACAGAGAATGAGCTGCCTGTTCCTGTCTGTCTCCCCATCTGGGGTTCGTGCTGGAGGAAGGAGCTGCTGCCTTTTCACCCCCCTCCCATCCCGACAGGCCTCTACCTTTACTTGGGATGATATCATCTCCATTGAGTTCAGCAACTTCTAGTAAGTCAAATGCTCGGGAAATTAAAAACCAGGCAGTGAATCTGGCTCTGTGAATAATTTTGACCCGAAACATGCCAAGTTCTTGAATCTCTCCCCTATTTGCAAAAATTCACCTAACAGGCTCAACATCAAGCCAAGGTTCCTTACGCCCAATAATCGGAAGGCGGCCTTGCACTGTTAGTCTCAGCTCTGGTGGGTTCGGGGACTACTGTCTTCCCGAAGGCTACGTCAGCAGAGGAGCCGGCCAGCGTTGCCTAGGATCACCAAGTAGGGATGTGGCGTCCTAATTCGCCCTACTTGTCGGTGCCGCCTGTAACAACCAGAGCATCTGTTTCTCTGAGTCTAAGGTTTCTGAGATGGAATCCACGTGGTATAAAGAATGAAGCAGTCTTGCCCCGGCTGATGTGGCTAAGTGGGTTGGGCGTTGTTCCACAACCCAAGAGGTTGCCGGTTCGATTCCTGGTTGGTCAGGGCACATGCCTGAGTTGTGGGTTCAGTTCCCGGTTGGAGGTGTTGGAGAGGCAACCGATTGATGCTTCTGTCACACATGGATGCTTCTCTCCCTCTTCTTCCCTCCCTTCCTGTCTCTCTAAAATTAAGAAAAAAAAAGAAAAAGAACAAAGCCACACTTACCTTACTCTTCTCATTGTGTCCTCGAAACTTTAGAATCACGTACAGTACAACCACAAACAAGAGCCAGAGCCACTTGCTGGCGAGCCAGCCTTGGGCGTGCTCTGGTAGGCTCTGCCTAATCCGGAAGTGCCCTCCGCAGGGCACCTGGCCCTGGGGTTCTTTGACGTTCCCCCTCGCGGAAGAAAACATAAAGGCGCAGCCGCAGGACAGGCACAGAGGCAAGAACAGGCACCATTTCAGCGTCCGCATGGCGAGCAGAGGTGGGGGAGGAAGTTGCTCATGGTGGGTCTGTTTGCCCTCGCACCGGGAGACCGGGTGCCTAGGGCTGGGCCGTGGGTGATGTCACAGAGGGCCCAGGGCAGGGGCAGCTCTGGCCATTGTGATGGCGGCAGGACAGAGGGTGACAGACACGCCGTGGTCCGGGAGGAGGGCCAGAAGGGTCATGGAGACATTTCCGGCAGGCAACAGAAAAGGGAGGGCGGGACGATGGAGTGCGGTCTCCTTGCCAGCCTTCCCGGCCCTGGTGCTTCGGCCGAGGCCTGCGTGGGTCTCGCGTTGGTTGGATCCCGACGTTGTGCTGAACACGCGGCGTGTGCCCCGCTGTGGAGCTGAGAGCCCAGTGAGAGAGATATTAAAGCCGAGGCTATACGTTAGGAGTCGTGGGGGTGTAGCTTGGCCTCTGTTGTTTCTGCAATTATTTGCAATATTTAAATGTTGGGGGTATTTAAAAACCTAGACTTTGGGCTCCTTTTGAAAATACGGGAGATCAGAAAACCCTGGTCCCAGCAGGCACTGCCCGTCAAGGTGGCCGTGTTCTCTCCGCAGCCCCCACTGCTCCTTGCCGCCTCCCAATCGCTGGCGTCACCCGAGTGTGCAGCCCTGGGTCACTTGTGGGTGTAACTTATTAGAGCTGTGACCGGAGCAGCGGGCTAGGAGCACCGCACGAGGTGCTGGCTCATGCGGGAAGCCTCTCCTGAGGAAGACACTGCGGTCGACGTTGGAGGGCCGGGCGGCGGGACTCGACACTTGGACCCGCGTGAGGGCCCCTAGGGGAAGGCACGGTGGGCGTCTGGGCAGTGGAGTCCGCCCACCTGTCCCGAGGGGCCACTGCCGCCCTCCGGGAAGCAGCTGGCCCAACACGGGCGGGCTGGAGGGTGCGCCCGGCCTTTGGCGCTCAGCCGTGAAATCCCAATTCTGCCCCCCGCCCCCCCCACCCCGTGTCCTCACATGGCTCTTGCGGGAGAGTTGTTCCTGGAACCCTGAGCTGCACCATTTGATGATAATTTAACAAAGTGAAAAAGGAAAAAAAAGCAGCAGTGAGTTAATAGTTTAACTGAGCCATATAAAAAATGGATGGGGGGGGGGCGGAAGTGGCTAATCAGGTTTGTCCTGGAAAAATCTGCAACAAAAATCCATTGGTGATAATGCAATTTGAATTAAAATGCTCCTACGTTTGCAATGTCAAAGCACCCTCGGGGCCAGAGGACAGGGCAGGAGCCCTTGGCCGTGCTCCTCTCCGGGGCCACCCCCGGACCCCCGGGGGCCTCAGACGCAGCCCACCGAGCCCACCCCTCCTCGGACCCCCTCCGGCAGCAGCTCCTCTTCCGGTGCCCAGCGGGAGCGCAGCCCTGGGGCTGCCGTGGGGAGCCAGCCAGGTGCCTCGCGGGGGCAGGCGCCTCCTGGAAGCGGTGGAGAGGCCTGGCCTCCGGGCTCTCAATCAGCAGTCTGGCGGGAAGTCCGAATAACGACCAGCGTCAGCACGCGTTGAGGGTAAAACACCTCAATTTTAGGTGCCATTCCCTTTTGTGTCTTCTGCTGATGAGAAAATTGGAATGGATGTGACATCATGGAGTTACTTCCGTCACTCAATTTTTCTTACAAAACACAGGTGGGAAGTAGAACAAAAATACAGACCGATGAGAGAGAAAAGGCAGACTTGCTTTATTTTTGTATCAAATTGTCATGTGCCACCTCAACCTTTTCTACCTGCAAAACGATAAACTGAGGGCCCCCTCCCCCTCCCCGCCAAGTATTCAACCCCGAGGCCCTCCTGCAAACAGGCCTGTGGCGGCAGGCGTGTCTCACGTTCAGCCTCGCGCGGCCTCTTCGGGAACTGCTGGCAGCAAAACCCTCCGGGCTGTCATCACAATGAGCCGAGCACACAGCCAGGGGCACCCAGAATCTTTGACCACGACAGGGCCTCGGCACCGAGCCGGCACGGGGCCCAGCGGGGTCACCCCGCCAGTCGCCCCACATGCCACAACCCATGCACCTCGGGGGCGAGAGTGGCCGCGCTGGCGCCAGGGTGAGGGGGACAACTTGATGGCACCGTGCAGAGACTCCGCCCGGCCGGCGCCCACAGCAGCTGCCTCCGCGAGCCCGGAGGGGCTGCGTCGGGGCGCGGCCCGGGCCTCAGAAGCAGTAGGATGTGTGGGTCACCCAGTGGGCCGACTCCTCCTTGGAGCGCTTGGCGGAGCTGTGGGTCGTGAAAATGGACTTGTAAGCTTCAGACTCCGCGCTGTCGGCGATGGACCTTTTTGTGGCAGCACCGGCAGGCTTCCCGGCTTTTCCAGAAGAGCTCCCGCTAGCTGCTGGGGAGTGAAGGCCGAACACTTTATGCCTGAGACTAAAGATCACCCCAAATAGCAGGTTCTCAACGGGGGAAAAGGCAGCCCGTCACTCCTGAGCGCGCTCGTGGGAGGAAGGCTGAGACCCGTCATCTCAGTCGCCGACCCCTCACAGCAGACGGAGCTGCGGCATTCAAGTCCATCGTTTAAAATCACACCGACCACTCAACTGCCCGCGTGAGCACGCGCTGGCCTGTGACAGGCGTGCCCGGGCGCCACCTCGCCGGGGGTGTGGCCAGCCTGTTCCAGGAGGGCGGCCACGTGAAGGCCCCTTGGCCGGTGGCTGCTGCGTGCAGGGGGGGACTGGAACCTGTAGCCCGTGGACAGTACCTCCAACACAAGGCCCCGCACTCTCTTACCCGTTTCTCTCTTTGTGAAATAAACACTGTTGTCCTGAGTTAACGGCAGTGAGTCTCAGGAGAAACGCACTGCATTCGGAGCCGCACGTGGGACGGCTCTCTGAGAGCTCAGCCAGAAGCCGGCGCGGGCACACAGGACCCTGGCCTCCACCCGCCCGTGGCTGTGGCGCGCCTGGGCCTGGCCCCGTGCCGCCCGTGAGCTCGGCCCCCGTGCAGACGCCACAGGACAACGGGACAGGCCCTGGCAAGCCCTGGCCTCCAGGAGCTGCAGCGGTTTGCCAGTCCCAGAGAGCTCAGCGCACTGCTGAGCCATGACTCCGGGCTCCAAGTTTCCCGAGTTCACGCCCACAAGGCTGACACAGCCAGCGGGCGCCCCGCCTTCCAGGAAGGCAGTGCCCTGTGGCTCTGTGGGACCCACCTGTGCTTCTGGGAGCCGGGCTGGCTTTCTTCTCCCGCGAGTCAAGGCTGGGTTCTTCCGACTTTCCTGCCTTAACTTTGGATGGCCCTGCTGGTCCAGGGAAAGCAGCAAAGTAAGCGGGGCGGGAAGGATGGGAAGCGTGCGCCCCACACACAGCCCTGCTGCCGTTTTGCTGAAGTGGTGTCTCACCTTCGCTGACATCCAGTTTTGGGACAGACTCTGCCGCCTTGGGTTTCTTCGCTTTCTGTAGGAAGAAAGGGGAGGCTGGAGGCATGCTGGCGTCGGCGGGCCGCCTGCCACCTGGCGGGTGCTCGCTCTGGGGATGAACCCCACGCACCACCAGTCCCAAGCCCGCGCCTCCGGGCGCGTCCCCGGTCACGCGCTTCACCCCACACAAGAATCTTTCTGTAGCGATCTGCTGAAGTCTTAGAGTCCAGAAATCACATCCTCAAACATTCCTCATGAAGAGGACAGACTTCAGTGATCACAGCCAACGTTAACGGCGACTGCAGTGCGCGAGAGAGCAGTGAAATGCACAGTAACACGGAGCACGTGCGGGCACAGACTGGCCCGCCGGGACACGCAGGGCCTGACCCTCGCCGGCCCCGCAGGGACTTAGGGCTGTCAAGGTGCTTTGATGTTTGTTTGTTTAACCAGAGGACTTGAGGCTTGCGCTGAAGGATACTTCGGCCCATTCTCCTCAACTCTCGTTAGATTTTCAGGCAGTGGGAGCCTGTCACTCTTAATAGTTACATTGGTCAGCAAAAGTGTAAAAAATGAACCACATAGAATTACGTGGTTGTGTTAGAAGTGCTTCAATCACAGAAAGGTAAATAGAACCTTGTTCACTAAATTTACTTTAAAAATGCCATTTTCATACGTAGCCAAAAGATGGCGCTGCAGGCATACAGCCTAGTTATTTCAGAAGGCCCCATCACTAGACAGCACAGGGAAAAAAGGCTTTCCCGGGCAACAGCCTTGACCTTATAACGCACACGTGCAGTGTGACTTGTAACACTTGTATAAGACACAGAAACCTCTGTTCATTTCTTGCATACAAGGCGCACGATCAAACCTGAGGATAATACCTCGTCCTGAAACAAACAAACAAACAAACAATCAAACGAGGCGCTCCGAGCCCTGAGTCCGTGGCTCCAGGAGCCCTGGGTCTCACCCCCCGCCGCTGGGGACCTGGCCGGCAACCCAGGCGTGTGCCTCAACCGGGAACCAAACCAGTGACTTCTCAGTTCCCAGGCCAGGGCTCAGTCCACTGAGCCACATCAGCCTGGGCAAAGTGATCTTTAACAAAAAAAAAAAAAAAAAAAAAAAAAATCGAGCACTTTGCCATTCGCAGAAGACCACAGCTATCCCCTGACACACTGAGGACCGAGGACACTCGCTGCTGGGCCCCGAGCCCCCCACAAGCCGACGGGCCGCTCCGAGCCCACTCGGGGCGGTGGATCATTAAACGACTCCACTGTTCACGGAAACGGGTTCCACGCCGAGGGCCGCAGGGCAAGGCCAGCCAGGCCCCACCCAGGAGAGGGTGGCCGCCCAGCTTCTCACGCCCCTGTTGGAGGGGCTGTGCCCTGGGGTGGCTGGGGACACAGGCTCTGGGCCTGCCTAGACCTCCGGGGACGCCTGGGACACTCCGAGCCGGGCAGCCCGGGCTCCCAGATGTGCGGGGGCGACGGCCTCAGCAACTTTCTCCTGATTTCCCGTGAGGAACGCTGAGTGTGTCCGGGCCCTCGGTCCGCGGGGCATCACCTCCAGGCCCCCCAGGCCTCCAGACCCGAGGGCGCTCAAGCCCTTCGCACAAGACAGCGCTGCCTGCAGAGCACTGGCGCGGAGGCCGCATCTTCCCAGCAACCGCAGCTTAAACTCTGCTTTTGGAAACTCCCTGGGGTGTTTCCGCCCTGCATCTCTCGCTCCACAGCTGGCTGAACCCACGGACGTGAAACGTGAAACCCGCGGACGCGGAGGGCGGACCGCGAGCCCCTCCGGCCCACTCGGCCCTGTCCTGCCTGGGGCCACGGGCGAGGTCTGCGTGGCCTCCTGACCACGCGGAGAGTGCCCAGCTCCAGCGCGGGGGAGCAGGCCGGCAGGGCCTGAAGACACGGGCAGGTGAGGGATGCACACAGGGCTCGGGTTACCTTTTCCAGCTTCGCCCTCAGCCTCCTCTCCTCCATCCGGCCCTTCAGCGCTTCCACATCCTCCTTGGTGCCGTTGAGCACGATGACGTCGTCCTCCTGGAAGGCAGCCCCGCACTGGAGGGAGCAAAAGAGAAAGAGGTGTCGCCAGGGAGTCCGCTGCCCTCAGCTCCTCCCGCCCAGCCTGGCACAGCCCCTCTGCAGCGCCGGGGACCCTGCTGCCGTCCTGCCCGCCACGGCCGCGCCGGCCTTGGGGCTGCCATCTCAGCGGGGGCCACTGGCTGTGGCTCTGCCTTCAAAGCCCATCCCTCTGGGTCAGCGCTTTGTCTCGGGCAGGTCCGCTATGTTCTCACATCCTGGGTCAGCGCCAGAGAGAGGCATGTGAACAGCAACGGGGACCCCACGCGGCACTCCCGCCCACCCCCTGACTCCTCTGGAGAAAAGGAGTTGCTGTCCGCGGTCACGAGGGGGCTGGCGGAGCAGGGCCCCAGGAGGGCCCCGCCGGGGGAGGCGGGCTTTCCCTCCTAACCCCTGCCCATTGTTCCTGTAGGAGCCTAAAGAGAAACACTTCACACCATGGGACAGGAAGGCTCCCGGAGCTCCCGACATGAGCCAGGGGCACGCCACCCAGCCCAGCTGCTCGTGGGCATGGCTGCCGGCGTCTCCCTTCTTCTTTACTTCAGGGACATAGCTCAAGGGGAACCGGGAGAGGAGCCCGCCTCCCTGGCAGTAGCAGAGCGTGGTTTTTATCCAGGTAAGTTCTGTTCAGCTTTATTTGAAGGCAAAGGGCAAGTCCCCTAAGTCGCAAAACTCTGTCCAAGCCCCCACGGGCTGGCCATGCGCGCTCGCTCCTGCGCACCGCGGGATGCTCCCAGGTTCCCCGGCGGCTGCGCGTCACACCCTGGCCCCCGTCTGCGGAGGAGGGCAGTTTCTTTGCGACCCAGGTCACGGCTCTTCACAAGAAGCCGGCCACATCCGTGCAGCTTCTCAGAGCTATTCACGCACCTCAGAATGTTTACTGTGTTCACACTGACGAAAAGGCCCCAACGAAGCATATCGGTCTGCCGTGCAAAGCCTGGTTAATTGTTTCGAAAATATTTTTGTTTCATCAAAGAGAGAAAAGAGAGAAAAGAGGGCTCATCCTGCCTTTGTAAGACTACAGGCAGAGCTGAACTGTATCGAAGGTCTAGACTATTCCAAATGTCAACGGAACTGCCATTAATCTTTGCGGGCAGGATTTCCTCACCAAAACCAACAAAGAAATCCTACACTACATCAGAAGTGAATAGAATGGTAAAGATATCACTCCGGGGGTCATCCAACAAGCAAACACGAAGTTCACGACAAGCCGAAGTCACCCCGAATCCACCCCTGAAGGAAATGTCTATGTATCTCCACGCACAGGGTTCAGAGAGGAGCCACCCCGTAACTTCACAGTTTATTTTGGAAGCGCATACCATGTACTGACAAGGAAGTCTGTCCAGTTTGCAGTGACTGGTACCCGTGCGAAAGACACGCCTCCGTGGCCCAAAGCCTCCAGCACCCAGGGCGCGGTTACTGGGCAACTCAGAGCCGCCTGGGAGGTAGGACCCACCCAGCAGCGCACGGCGTGCGCAGCGCGGGCGGCAGGAGGGACGTTCACTCCTGACTGAGGAGTCGTCCTATTTCAGCCATCTGATGTGGCATGGCCAGCTGCTCTTTATGTTGTGAGACCTTCCACTTGGGGAGCACAGGAGGGTCTTTGATTCCAGGTGTCTGAAGTTGGCTGAGTGAGCACCCCGTCCCCAAACCAACCTGGCTGCTTTGCTCCCTGTCCCAAAAGCAGCAGTTCACACTCACTAAGCCTCTGGAACATTCCAAGTGCCAGTTTTTGGAAAGCTCTTTGTGTCTTCATTCACATAATAAGCACCACTGAGTCCCCACGAGCACTGGGCATTGTGCTAGGGGCTCCCTAAGAATGAAAAACAGGGAAATTATTTCCTGTTGCAAATAGGATCCTTATGATCGGCTCTGAGGGGTGGAGGGCAGCTGAGCCCCCCAGGAGGCCCCGCTCCCTCTCTGTGGGCAGCGGACAGGCTCCCAGGGGAGCGCAGCCTCACACCGGAACAGCTAAGGTCGTCAGCGCAGACAGCAGCTGGCAGTGAATCCAGCAGAGATGGGTTGGGGCTATTTTATAATCTCTCCTAGCCCCTGAAAATACCATTTTCAAGTCACCTCAGAGGGCGCATGGAGAAAAGAGAGTCCAAAGAAACCCAACATTATCACGAAGACCATGTTGTAAACATGACGTCGGTTATCAGAGACACAGACAGGGATGAACAACCAAGTCGAGGTACGAAGACGGAGATACGGGGCCGTGGTCACCCCAACGCCACCGCCAGGGTGGCGCCGCCAGCAGCCCCCAAGAGCGGGCCTCCTCCTCGATGACAGCTGAGCACTGAGAGCGAGGCTGGCCTTTGCGGCCATGGTCTCCCCGTGACCCAGTGGAGAGGAGGCGGGGCTGGCCGCGCGGAAGACCCCGCCCGCAGGGACAGAGGGGGCTGGCCCACAGGCACGTGTCCTCCTCCTGCCCACAGATGCCCCGGGTGCCACGCCCAACGCTGGCTGGGAGGGCGGCATTCGGGCCACGGGCCATGACATGGAGGAGCGAGGAGGGAAGCGCTCATCATGGGTGTACAGGCAAAAACGGGGATAAAGCCAAAAAAGCCTTCGAATTTTAGCTGCCTCAGCCACAGAGGCCGGAGACTGGTGCTCACATGTAAAGTGATCTGGGGTTAGTGGTGGACCAATTGGCCTGGAGTCAAATTTAAAAACTTTTTTAAAGATTTTATTTATTGATTTTTAGACACGGGTCTGGTCCTCGGTTGGGGGCGTGTGAGAGGCAACCAAACTACGTTTCTCTGGCACATCAATGTCTCTCTCCCTTTCTTTTTCCCTCCCTTCCCCTTTCTAAAAATAAATAATAAGATCTGTAAAATAAAAAAAGTACACTGACACGGAACAGAGGCAGCTGGGCCTCCACGGCCGGCCCTCGCAGGCCGCCACGTCCGGGACAGCTGCGTGCGCGGGCCGGGAGACCTGCCGGGGCTCACGCGGTCGCCCCCCTTGTCGGCCAGCAAACTCGCGTCCTCGGCAGAGGCTCCTGTGGTGACGTGCTCGGAGCGGTGGCAGAGGCGGCAAGTCCTGCAGCAGGCGGAGGTCCCCGCGGAACCATGCCGGCGTTTCCCACGGCAGAGGCACCTCGGAGCGAGCGGGACTGCTGGGCTGGGGGTTCTGAGGGGCGTTTGCGCTCTTCCTGTGTCACTCTGTTTCCTTGACTTGACATCAGAGAATATTCAGCCAACGGAGAAAGATGGGGAAATGATTCTTTGATTCAGGTTAGCTCTTGACAGGACTCTGCCATTAATCAGAGGCCACTTTCATGGCGTTGGGAAAGCGGCCACGAGAGAAATACATTGCTGGGGCTGCGTCTTAAAGGCGCCGTGTGAATGGGGTCTTGAGATGATTTCTCGAGCTTCCCAGGGACAGAACCTTCTCGCTAGCACTTCCAGTCTCCTGTTCAGTTTTCCTCTTAGGTTTTCCGTCCCTTCCAAAGTTGAAAGCTGCCTGTGCTGGATAGTATGCAATTCCCTGAGACTTAACACTCACAAAGACCTCAAAGACAGCAGACAGCTACCATACCCGGAGAACAGAGCCGGGAAATCGAATACGCCAACCACTTTGGGAGATACACCCCTTCCCTAACTTACTTTCTCCCTTTTCCAATCCACCCCAACCCCCACGAAAAGAACTCAAAACAAACAAACAAAAACAAACAAAAACAACCCCACGCCGCAGTATGGGTGTAAATTTTTGTTTTACTTCTGACCTTGACACTCCCGCACAGCCCACCATCGCAAGGATCCAACAGAGGAAGCCAGACAGCTGCAAGTCAGACACCGCGGACCGCGCCCCGGCAGCCCAGACCCGCGCTTCTCCAAACTCACCGGGCCCTCCGAGCCCCCAAGTACCTTGTTAAACACGGATTCCGGTTCTGCAGGTCTGGGGAGGGCCTGGGAGCCTGCATTTCTCAGAAAGAGAAAACAAAGCCTCCCAGGCGGCACCAGTATTGCGGGACCCCGGCTCGTGCTTTGAGTAACAAGTACGCCCTTTCCTCGGCAGCCTGTAACTGCTCCAGTGCGCTTTTTATTACAAGGAAGGAAGGAGCGCAGTGGGGAATACAATCAATTTTTGGCTAGTGATCTGTTTACAGTGGAAACAAGACAACCTAACAACTACATCTCTTTGGACCCTGTTTGCTGACATCGAGCGTGCACACCCTGGGTTCCAGAACACAGACCCAGGCTACTTCAAAGCCGAGAGTCTCTTCTGGTGAACTGAAAAGCAAACGTAGGTGGAAGCACAGAGTGAAACGTAGGAAAAACGCACACCCTAAGTGTCACGGAGGCCCCTGACGTGGTTTCCCCAACTTCAGACGTGACCTAACAAGTAAAAACGCCCGGCTCAGACTTTGACGCCGTGGCTTTACCTCGCTGCGTTCGCCTTCTCCCAGTGCACTGCCGCTCCTAAAACGGCACCGCCGTTCTTCCTTCTGGCAGAGTGGGCAGCAACGGCTGGCCTTCACCGCCTCTTCCAGCCAGACTACACTTCCCGGGCTCCCCTACAGTTAGGTGCGGCCACATGACTGAGTTCTGGCCAATGGCACGTGAGGATGTGATGAGCAGCACACCCAGGCCTGGCCCGTTAAAACCCCCCCGAGTTAAAGGCTCCCTTCTGTGATCCCACCATTCGACCGCATGGAGAAGACTCCAAGAACCAGAGGAGGTCAGAGCTACAGGACAGTAGGAGCCTGAGCCCTCGCGTTTTCCGTGGAGGAAAGCGGGCCGACTGGAAGCTTCCACCGTGTGTGTACCCACTGTTTGGTGCCATAGTGCGCCAACCACGATGCAGACACTCAGTGTGAATAAACCTGAGAGAACTTAAATTCAAAGTATGAGTTTGAGTCCTGGTAACAGTATACGAATTTGTCACTTAATTTCTTCATTTTAAAAAGGTTATTATTTGGACTTTGGGTCTATAAAGACAGTGTCCAGGAACGTAATTTCTTCATTTTGCATATTAGAACCTACAGCCCAGGGGTGGCCTGTTGCCGACACGCGGCAGGCTCTCCACAGGGGCTTCGTGAGCCAATGAGCGAGCGACTCCGCTCTGTGCCAGTGCATGTCCCCTGCTCTGTGACTCTCTAAACAGCACTGTGTTTTTGGCTGCCCTGTCTCCCCTCCAAATGTTGACGTCCCAGCCGCCAGTACATCAGAATGGGACCTGGCTGCAGATGCCATTAGTTGAGATGCAGTCACTAGGGTGGTCCCTAATCTAGTATGACGGGTGTCCCTAGAGACAGGGGAAAGGCGAACATAGAAATGGATTCCACAGAAGAAGGGCCATGCGAGGAGACCCAGGGACCAGAAGGCCACCTGCAAGTCCGCAGAAAGGTCTGGACAGCTCCGTCCCTCACAGCCCTCGGACAGAGCCAGCCCTCCCGGTGATCCAGACGTCAGCATCCAGGACTGGGGGATGGGACCCTGTTGTTAAGCCACCCACCTGGGGGTGCCTTGTTATGGCTGCTCCGGCAAACTAGTATGTACTTGACCTAGCCAAGCCAAGGTGACGTTTATGTAGGTTACATGAGGGAAAAGTGCTTATTACCTTGCTCTTTTGGCAACAGATGTATTTTCAAGAAAACTTCCTCTAGTCCTGGCTGGAGGGGCTCAGTGGATTGAGTGCCAGCCTGCAAACCAAAGGGTTGTGGGTCCTATTCCCAGTCAGGGCACATGTCTGGGTTGCAGGCCAAGTCCCCAGTAGGGGGTGCACGAGAGGCAACCACACACTGATGTTTCTCTCCCTTTCTTTCTCACTCCCTGCCCCTCTCTCTAAAAATAAATAAATAAAATCTTAGAAAGGAAGAAAGAAAGAAAGGAAGAAAGAAAAAGAAAGAAAGAAAGAAAGAAAGAAAGAAAGAAAGAAAGAAAGAAAGAAAGAAAGAAAGAAAGAAAGCTCCGAGACCGGCCTGAACGGCGGCCGGCACCCGTCCTGCCTGCGGGAGGCCCCTCGGCGCACAGGGGAGCTGGCGCACCCGTCCTGCCTGCGGGAGGCCCCTCGGCGCACAGGGGAGCTGGCGCGCCCAGGCCTCCCCTGGCGCCGGCCTCCCCCTGCGCACCCCTGATGCAGTTGCTCCCCCTCTCCCCTGCTGCCTTCTCTTCCCTGGAAGCGCTCAACGTACAAACGTTCGGTTTGGCTGGGGCGCAGTAACATTTCGCAAGCAGCAGCACGATTTCAGAGTTCCCCGGTAACACTGTATTTTCATGAAATAGTTGACTTCCCTGTAGAGCTGTTATGCATGTTACGCAACGTGGTTACCAACGTTGATATGTGAGGTCGGCCCATGCAAAGGAACCCCGCCGGTAGTGTTAGCAGGAATAAATGAAATAAAAACAGCTTTGCTTCCATTAAAAAAAAAAAAAAGCAACACTGCCTGCTGATGTAAGAGATGGGCACCATGACGGGCAGGGGAGAAGCGTCTGGCTGCTTTAGAGCAGAGTCCCCGCACGGGCCGCCCATTAGGAATCACCCTGGGAACTCCTACATAAAAGGAGAGATCGGGGGGGGGGGGAGGGGTCTACACCCACCCTAACAATGCCGACTCAGGGTCCGAGACGGGGAATGGGAACTTAACAGATCGCTGGGGCGATTCTAAAGAGAAAGCCTGGTTTGGGAGTCACTGATGCAGGACATCTGGCTTCTGCAATAGTTTCAGCTGAATTTTCCACCTCTCCTGTTTACATTCTTTACAGTCAGTCCTGGTGCGTAAACGGCATGAATCAATCCCTGAATGCATTCTTTATACTATTTGTTTTGTAAAAGCTTAATGGACAGATTCCAAATTCTACGATGGCTTTATTCCTAATCACCCCAGACTGACTTCTTCTCTACCAATTATCTTTTGCTTGTCTTTGCGTCCCAAACAGAATCAGCCGGTGTGTTCTCCTCCACGCCTGGCTCCTTTTATAGAGGGATTGTTTTAAAACTGATGGACGCCTGGTACAGCTTAAAGCTGCGGCCTGCTGGCTTCCCACCGCTCTTGGAGTGAAACCCACAAGCCCCAGCGTGGCCACCGGGCCCTGAAAGAACTGACCCCTGCCTGACCCTCCAATCACATCTACTTCTCCACCAGACTTTCTGTTCCTTGAACCAGACAAGACCTCTGTCACGTCTGAGCTCTTGCTCAGACTGCCTGGCTGCCTCCCTCGCGCCCTTCGGGCCTTGGCTCCCACCTCCAGAGGCACCTTGGCCGACCACCACAAGGTGGCCCCTCTCCCTATAGGACAGCTCCCTCTGTTTCCGGTGCAGCACCTGCTGCCACCGATGCTATCTGCTCAGCCATCCGAACATCTCTGTCTCCAACTGGGCCGCAGGTCCCACGCAGGCAGAGCCACCCTCTTACCCACTGCACAGAGCCGAGGACAGGATGGGCCCCTCATCAGCTGTTCAGCGAGCGCTGATGGGCCAAAGAGTCAGTCCCACGAGGGCGGCACAGTGCAGGGGGTGTCTAACGAAGTCCGAGCAGGGTTAATAGGAGTGGGAATACAGTCCAGAGCCGTTGGCATCCGTGGCACTAAACTACATGCCAGGCTCTCCCTGGGCCAGCAGAACACCCGCGACACGAATGTTCCGGCACCGCAGCAGCACGTGGCTGCGAAGTCATCAGCACTCCCCCTGCGTGAGCTGAGCAGGTGCACCCCATCCTGGCGTCTGCTCACTCGTCAGGGCGCTCACTGAGGACTCGCGACGTGCCCTGCAAAAGCCAGCCCCAAACACCCACCGAAGGGACAGAGAATTTTCGGGGCAGTGGAAATGCTCCGCATGACACCATCATGATGGACGGCACATGTCATTACACGTCTGAACCCGCGGAACACACGGCGCCAAGAGTGAGCCCACAGGAAACCTTGGACTCTGGGCGATGATGACGTGCAGCGAGTGCACCGCTCTGGCGGGGGTGCTGAGGATGGGAAGGCTGTGCGGGGGGCGGGGCAGAGGGAACATGGGGAAAAATAAAGTCTCACCAAACATTAAAAAAGGAAAGGAACACCCTCATGGTCCCACGGGGAGACGGCCTCAGGGCCCCGGGCACACTCGGCTGCGGTCAGTGGGCGACAAGGAGCCGGGCGGGGAGGAGTGCGCGGGCAGGCTCCGCTGAGGAGGCCCTCGCTCTGCGACCGAGGCTCCCGGAGGCTCCCCTCCAGGCCGGCAGGGTGGGGCGGGGGCGAGGGAGCAACGGCCCGGGACAAGGAGCAGCTCTCGGGCAGCGGCCGAGCCTGGCCTGGGCCGGGGGGCAGGCGAGGACGCACCGCGAGGGCATCCTGGCCTGTCCTCCCAGCAGTGACGGCTGCGGCAGGGCAGCAAGCAGAGACGCAGCCGGCGGCACCGACGCTTCGGAAAGAGCTGAGGGCTGAAGCGACATACAGGGCGACGCGCTCCGAACCACCCGCTCTCCTCGGCCACGGACAGGGGACCCCGGGCAGGTGTCGGCAACTCACCGTGTGACAAACTTCTGCCTTTATCTCTTTCAAGGCGCGCTCCGAAAACACGCAACCACAGCACCGCAGGAAGCAAAACCTGGAGAGATAATCCAACGTGGAGAATGACTGAAATGATAACTAAAAAATTATTGCCCATGTTATCAATTAACATTTGTTCAGTTTACACAGAGGCCAAGAACCACACAGAAAAATGGTTACATTTTGTTACCTTTATATATATATATATTTATATATGTTTATATATAAATTAAAACCACAAACACAGGCCACAGTCCTATTCCCACTTCCTCGCAATAAAGCCTTTGGAATAAAGTCTCCTCTACAAATATTAATGGGCAACACATGTAATCGATGCTTAAACTCTACTGTTAAATAAATGCTTTTTAGCTCCGGGTGGTGTGGCTCAGTGGACTGACCGCCAGCCTGTGAACCAAAGGGTTGCTAGTTTGATTCCCAGGAAGGGCACATGCCTGGTTGTGGGCCAGGTCCCCAGTAGGGGGGTGCGCATGAGAGGCAACCACACATGGATGTTTCTCTCCCTCCCTTCTCCTCTACTGAAAAATAAAATCTTAAAAAAAAGAGAGAAATGATTTTCAAAACAATGACATAATTTCAATGACATAATTTCCCTGTCAGGCAATAATGAAAGTAGTTCAAGGAATATGGCTGACAAGTGTCTGAAGAAACAGTGCATTTGTTGGTGGGGTTGGGAGTACAACATGATACAACACTTTAGGAGGACAATTTGACAGCGTCAGGTAAAGCATCGCTTTCCAGAATTTCTCTAGGTGGTTACGAAGTTGTATAGTACAGAGAGCACCACCTGGGACAGAGAAAAAGAGGAAACCACTGACATGCTCCTGGGCAAGGGACGGCCGAGTAAACTCTGAACACTCATACAGCTGCTCAGAAGAATAAGGGAGCCCTGGCCGGTGTGGCTCAGATGGCTGGAGCATCGTCCTGTAAACTGGAAGGCTGTGGGTTCGATTCCTGGTCAGGGAACACACCTAGGTTGTGGGTTCAATCCCCGGTCAGAGTGCGTGCAAAAAGCAACTGAATGATGTTTCCCTCTCTATCTTCCTCCCTCCCTTTCCCACTCTCTAAAGTCAGTGAGTGTGTCCTCCAGTGAGGGAAAAAAAAAAAAAAAAAAAAGACTAAGGTAAATCTCTATATAAGGCCATGAAAACATTAGAGTTCAAATTAGAGAAGTAGGGAAGAAAGTTACAAAATATGCATAATGTGACTCCATGACCGTGGGAAGAACACATGCTTACACTTCTGCCCACTGCGTTTCGGGAAGCGTGGCGTGTCAGCAGGGTTTCAGGGACCATGGAACGCCAAGTGGCTAACACCGCCACCCCTGGAGGCCAGGACTGGGGGGTGGCGGCCAAAAGCACTTTCACATTTTACTTTACAAATGCCTCTAAAAATGGCACAACAGAAAGGTTCTCCAATTTCCTGGGAATTATAGCAGCTGCAGACGGCCCTAACAAAACCCAATTCCCAACACTGTACTAAATTCGTTAAATGATTAGGACAAAAAAACAAAAACAAAAACCAAACAAACAAAAAACCCACCAAACAAAAAAACCCCTATTTTACGGAAGCTTACTAATTATTAGTAATTTAGGAAATTAGTAGTTTTCCTTTGAACAAAGACTTGATGTAGTTATTATACTATTAACTCATTTCTATTACTCTATATATTTAAATCTTTATTATACAAACTTTACAAAATATACAAACAAATCAATTTTCTACTGCAAAGTCCCCATTAGTAGGAGGGCAGAGCCAAAACCCAAGTAACTGGGAAGAGGAAAAGAGGAAGAGCGAAGGAGAGGACAAGGCTGGAGGGAGCCACGGTCGGAGCAAGCGGCCCCAGGTGACCGCTGCTCAGGACCCGGGAGTCAAGGCTGTTCCTGCCAAGTTCCTCTTTTAGGGTGAACCACGATTTTCTTAAATAGAAGCACGGAACTAGACACAAAAGGCCACACACTGTCTGCTTCTATTTACATGAAATACCCAGAGTATGTAAAGCCATTGCAACAGACAGCAGGTTAACGGTTGCTGGGGCGGACGGGTTGGGAGGGTTAGGTGTGAGTCTGGTTCCCAAATATTTTCTGCTTGACTCGGACGGTGAACTCTGGCTTTTAATGTTCCTATTGTCTGGTTCTATTTAGGTAGAATTGATGGCTGGGAACTGTGTTTATTTAAGGCGTACGGCTTGCTAACCTGACACACGCCCACACTGTTAAATGACCAGCACGATCAAGCTGAACGACATATCCGTCACCTGACGGGTACCACTAAGTGGCGAAGTCTGAGAGAGAGGCCTGGCCGACTGAAATTCAGACTGCGCGGAGAAGAATGAAATCTTTCGGCTCCCCTGTCAAGAGCGCAGCGGGCCTTCCCTCTGCCACGGTTCGCCACATGCAGCACGCGGGCGTCCGTTACACGAATGTCTGCCCACGTGCCAGAGAGCTCCAGGCGAAACGTGGTCTCCAGCTCAGTGAAAGTTTTCACTGACTTGAGATGCTTTCCCCCCTCCTTTCCTGAAAAGAGTAAAAATGACCACCTTTCAACATGTAATGGGTGAGACGGAAGATTCCGCCTAGACTGCCAGCTATTAAAGAGATTTCTAAATTGTGCGAAAAGACTTCAGAGCGTTGGCTTAAGAGACATCCTATACAAAGACACCCACTAACCCATTCAACATTCATACTTTTTAAGGGAGAAATATATACAGGTCACTTACAGTTTCTATATAAATCTCAGCCTTAAAGTTTCTGATATTCTAGCCAGAGGACTTCTAGCTACACATTCGAATCAGGTTATCATCAGCTGGGCCTTCGGCTGACCGACCAACCTCGCGTTCTGTACCACTACTCCCACTGCATGGTTGTAGCAATGACAAGGACAGGGGATGTTTGACAGGCAACGTTCGCCCTTTGTCTTCCTCCCGGAGCAGGAGATCAGGTAACCCAACCCAGTTCGTAAGCATCACGGGAGGAACTTGTACTGTCCCGCTTTGCCTCAGGCTCCCCTGCTCTCAAGGACAGGGGGCCACAGACGGTAAAGGTGAGCGGGCCTGGTCCCCACCGTGCCAGCGGCCGGCAGTGCACACGCCCCCGGCGGGGGACGCCCTAAGGAAGCCCACGTGCCCGCCAGGCCCGGCACAGGCCCTGGCGGCCGGAGCTGCTGGAGCTGACCCACCTGTGCCGGCCGTTCATCTCCAAGCCCACGACCGGGCAGAGGAAGCGGGCCCGTTGCAGGTCGTCGTGCTTGTCGCCCTTGGTGTTCCCTCGGTCGCCGCCCCAGGCGGGGTTGTCGGAGAGCCGCAGTTCCGTCACATTCTGTGAGAAGCGATCGACAGCTTAGGAATTCACATGATAAGCGGGCCACCCTTAGCCTTAACAGCCACCCAAATCACGAGAGAAGCTGTCATGCCAGCGCCCTCCCACTCAAACCTCTCCTTGCCAGCTACTTCCTCCAGCCATCCATTAACATGGATAGACAATTAAACCATATATGGGAACAGAAAACATGATTTTTAAAATTCACCAACTGGCCAATAAGTTAGTTAATTTCTCACAAATATTCTGCTATTTGAAAAAAAGTAACTTTTGACATGAAAAATCAGCCCACGGAAAGAAAGCTTTCTGATGATTTTATCCGGAAAGGCACCGACCATTCCGTCCCTGCTCACGAACCCGCACCGAGGCTGCTCCGCGCGGCTACTCGCCCACGTTTATCTCGTCCTTGCAGAGACGGTGCAGCCTGAGGCCCGGGTCTAGGGAGCCGAGGGCAGAACGTCAGCCTGAGGCCCCCGTCACATCCCAGGATCCGGCCCTCCAGTTTCAGGCCATCCCACTTGGCGGGGGGGGGGGGGGGCTGGCCTCACGCCAGCATGGAGGCATTCTTCACATTTAACCGCGCCCCTTTCATTTCAACACTCTGGAGACAAACACATTTTTTAAAAATAAAAAATAAAAACAAACAAAGAAACCAGCCTGAGGGGCAGCTGATGCCTCAGAAGGAAAGCGCCACACACCCCGCCTGGCTTGCTCATTGTAACACGGCTGGGATGTGCCTCAGGTTCTCTGCTCGGAGTCTTGGTGGACGATTAACTGACACGAATGAAAATCCTGCGTGTTTGCATTGCTTTGTGTGAATTCTTCTGTCTTTACAGTTCAGACTCTTGGAAGAGGTTTTTTGGGGGCATTCAAATGAAAAGCTCAGGGGGCATAAGGGTACTAAAAGGTAATGAAAAAATACAATAAAGATAAAAAATATTAAAAAAATAAAATGCAAAGTTCAACTACATACATTAAATACGGTGGTTTAAGTATGGAATTGTAGAAATAAATGTCAGTGATAATCACATTTTTGAGCTAAGATAATTCTGTTATCATGGGTTTTTTTTTTTAGGAGTGAATTCTCTTCCCAAGGCAGAAGATGGCAAAATCAGCACGGTTATTTCTACAGTGCCATGATGAGCTACATTTCAAACTCACTAATTTGCCTGAAATGAACATATCCAGTATTCTGTAATCACTCCAAGAATTCAAACAAAACACCTAATATAATCATAGAACATTTAAAAAGAAAGAGCAGGAAAAAAAGAAAAAACCCGAAGCCTTAGACTAGGAGTAGGGCCCTGGTCCGCGTGTGAGCCTGACGCGGCCACGTGCCCCCCGGGGCGGATGCACAGTGCGGGGGAGGGGGCGCCTCGCGAGCTCAGTGGCTCTCAAGGCCTTCACTGCTGTTGACTGTTCTCTCACCGACCAAATCTGAAAACGTTGTCTTCTCAGCAAACTTCTTTTACCAAAAAACTTGTTTTTCCAATCAGAACGTCTAGTCAGCAGGCAATAACCACCTGATTGAACCGTGGTCTATCTGTAAAATTCTCTAATTCTGTAAAAGTGTCTTCCAAATCAAAAATTCAGGTAGCTAAGTTTTAACTACAAAAATAAGGTGTCCCAATACATAGACAGCAAAACGTTCGAAGCGCCTTCCCGAGTGTCAGGTCGTGAGAGGGTGCTAATGCCGAAAGCACAGGCGTGAGGCCTTCTGGCCTGGGCGTCAGGTGGCCCCCAGAATCACACCTTCGTCAGCTGGCCGGGTGGGGCCGCCACCGCAAGCATCGGAGGTCCGTCTAGAATGCACACGAGTTCCAGAAGATAGCCCTACCCGCTGAGACCCTCGGGGCCCTTTGGGATCGCCTGGCTCACCTTGATGCTCTTAATGTGAGATGCGGCCTTCCCGAGAGGCTTTCCAGAAGACTTGTCCAGCAGAAACTCAATGACGGCATCTTTGTTGTAAAGTCTGCAACGGTGAGATTAGTCAAAACATCCTGGCGGCAATTAACCGTCACACAGAGGATGGAAGCTAAACTGAGGATAACCCAAAGTCCTTTTACATTTGATAACAGAAATGCTCAGCCTTACCAAAAAAGGAAACTTAATCCTCTCTCAACTATTTCCAGGGCATACAAAGAAAGAAACTAGTTTAAAACGAAGGGTTGCAAACTGGCAGTCTGAGGGCTGGCTGTGACCTTAACATTTTAAAAACTGGGAAATTTAATATAAAAGTACACACTGTAAACTTTTCCTGAATAAAAAAATAAAATCCGAAGTTACAGACTCACGGGGCCCACACTGTTGAACGGCCACAACGGGCTAGAACCGAGTGGCAGCTGCGCCTTTAGACAGGACATGAACTCTCCGGTTTCCCTCGGCCCCCACCTTTCCCTGCTGGCCCCACAGGGCTCCTGCCTGCACTCATGTCGATAACTCTACTCCTACCCACCCCTGAGTTTTCAACCCATTAAATAAACCACCCTGAACGGGTAGTGTGTGAGTATGCTCACAGGGAACAATAACCTGGACTTCACAAATTTGCTAGCAATAATTCACATTTGATGAATCAAGAACTGCATTTACACATTAAAATTATTTTCAAAGTCATTTAATAAAAACTCATTTCAAAAAAAAACACAACAAAAAACCAACTCATTTCAATTAAGGAACCATACCTGCCAAGTTCACAGGCAACTATTGGTCGCCTTAGTATTTCTTGACTTAGAGCACAGTAGTTCCATTGGGCCACCAATTCAGCATCTTTGTCAACCTAAGAAAAGAAAAAAAACTTTTAAATTAATTTTCACCTCTGAATATGGTCCACAGTTCTACATAGAAAGGCTTATTCCATAATATCACCCTGATGATTTTTGTTTTTTCCAAAGATACTGACACAAGATGCTGGGATTTAAAAAGTCAAAGCAATCAATACTATGTCAGATAAAGTCCCCTCTAGACATGACACCTACGCTGAACCAGTTTACATCAAGTTATTAAGTTGCTTATGCAACCTACATATGAATATTCATATTTGCATCTTAACAGTAAGTTTGGAAAGCCATACAGAGAAAGTTCACAGTGCTTTCCTATGGTTAACTTATAACAACAGGAAAGGCTCCAAAGTCTTAGCAGAATTTAAGGACTAAGAACTGAGAAGACAGGCATTATTATTTAAAAGTTCAGCACAAGGACTACTTAATTCTTTATAAAATCACCAATTTAACAGAAGCGTTTTTTGCAAAACGTTCACGATGGGCATCTCAAACCCTTATCCGCAGAATGAAAATCCAGATGTTAAGATGCTCCATAACCCTCAATGATCATTTTACCTGTACGATATTCCATGCCCCACTCTTTCCCCTCCTAAGATGCCAAACCTGAATAATATAACAAGATGGCACATTTGGGAGGAAAAAAAGGAAAAAGAAAAAAGTTCCTTTAGATTTGATTTTTGCAGCAGGAACTGCTTAAGCGCCTGCTGTGTTCCAGGCGCTGTGCTAAGCAGTTCCTGCAACTTCACCTTCTGGCCTCATTAACACCCTAGACCCAATGTCTCCGCCTTAAGTTGTTGCGGAAAGTGAAGCGCTAAGAGGTTGCCCTCCAAGTAGGTGAAGGAGCTAGAACACGAGCAGGCTGGCTCCAGAGGCCATGCTATGAATCGCTACTTTCTATTATTTCAAACCAAACCAAGCCACGCCCACTGCAATTGCTATTCGACCCACTTCCCGGACCCAGAGCCACACTTCGGCAATTCAAATAGCCTTTATCAAAATTCACACTGCAGCGGAGCACGGAGCGACCTGCCACCAGTGAAACACTGTCTGAGGTGCTTTACGGGCCTTCTAGTAAAAAGCAATTACTAGTTCTATCTTTGAAAGCCTGAGTTATTGAACGGTAATCTACGTTTCATTACCTACGGGTTCCGGGGTCTTGGTGATGTTACTGACTCAATTTCTCTGCCAGGAGCATGGAAAGTATATATGATTTGATAAATTACCTGTGAGAATTAGGAATTACTCATTCATTCATTAATTCGTTATACTGTACTTAGTGTGCTAGGAACTGTAGAGGGAGGAGAAGGCACAGGTTCCACCCCCAGGAGCTGGCTGTCCGGAGACCGTCACGCATCGACCACGAACGCAGTGTACAAGGGGGTTATACAGTTTTAAGAAACGGACCTGATCTCATGGGGCTAAGGAAACGTTTTGCGAAGGTTTCCCTCAGGAAGTGATGTTAGTGTATAGAAAGCCTGATAAAGAGCAGCCATTTGGATCACTGTTACTATGGCAGATAAGCTTCAAACCCTGGCGCTGTCACCAGCGTTGCAACTTTCTCCCTTTCTTTCACCTTCAATTTCCGTGTCTGCACAGTGAGGATAGTGACAGTATGTACCGACGTGAGAACTGCAGGAGACATCCCATATTAAGGTTACTTCCGGGTGAATTTCAATAGCAAGCACACAATAGAGGCCTGTTACTGATACTGTTGTTTAGTGTGAGCTCTCCAAGCTGGAAGCCCTCTGGCTCCACCCCCCACCTCTCCTCGCTCCCAGGGGCCCCCACCACTCTCAGTCCCCACTGGGCCCAAGTCGCAGACCTTCTCAACCTTCTTGGGCCCCTTCACCAGTTCGTGCCTCTTGGGGATTGTTCCTCCGTCGCAACCCATCGCAAGGCGGGTGTCAGAAACACCTACAATCCGCCGCAGAATCAACTTCCGGGGTCTCTGGCGACGGCCGCAGCCACTTCCGGCTCACCTTTGTGACGCAACACGCTAATCTCGACGCAGGGGGCGGGGTCGTTGCCTAGTCTCGGTTGCCAAGAAGTGCGTCGCTAGGCGCCCGGCGCGGCCCCGCGGCGTCAGCTGCCCAAATGCTGGTCTTCTCGTGCTAAGTAGGGAGTCGGGTGCCCGCACTGCCCCGGCCAAGGCGCGAGCCTTCCTCTTTCCGGTGGGCGCTGGATTTCTGCTGCATAATCATAATCGCCCGCCCACGCTCCGGAGGAGGGGATACACCCAGGAGCACCCGCGGCTCGCGGCCCGGCCCACGCCAGCCTGCCTGCATCGGGCACGTCCCTAGACTGTGAGCGTCTTCCGCGAAGGACCGCTTTTATTAAAGCAATTAGTGATGCTTGTAAATGGAATCTATTATTCAGTTAACATTTTTCTGTTTAGGAAAAGGACTCATTTGTGTTGACCGCTAACTGTGACCTAAGCACTCAACAGCAAATCCTGGGACAGGATGTTATAGGTGATTCTCGGGGAGTAACGTCCTTCATCTAAGGCCTGAAACTTTCTGATACCCTCATGTAAATTGTATGTATATGACGTTTTACATACAGTTTGGACACGTATGTTTTTCATTCACAGCCTCCTGAAGTCTGAAAAAAATTGTATTTTATTTATGTCTTTCAATCCTCACCTGAGGATATGTTTATGGATTTTAGAGGGAGGGAAAGAGACAGAGAGAGAAACATTGGTGTGAATCCTCAGTTGGTATACCTGGACTGAAGTGGCAACATTTTGGTGTACTGGACGATGCTCCAAGCAACTGAGCCACCCGGCCAGGGCCAAATATTTTTATTTATTAAAAAGCAGGTATAGTTAAGAGAGATATAAACTTAAGAAAGGTACACTGATGTTTAAATGCCCTTTCCAAGAGACAGGCTGCATTATGTCAATACGGAGAACTCAAATCCCTTGCAGAACCCCGGCTAACATCCACTGTTGTCTGCTCTCAAGCTCTGGGCCATTCCAGTATTTGGTCCATCAATTATTATAAGTATTAGGAGAAAGCCTACCCACAGCAGGAAAGTGAAACTTTAGGGTTGGTTGTTACCCTATTGACCACAGTGAAATATAAAAAAGCTGAAAATATCCCCCACATGGGAACAGAAAGTATGCGGATATGAAATGTCAAGGGCTATAAAATTGGGTTTTCTGTTATTGCAGCTAATGGGAATTAAAAGGAAATAAACCCTTTAATCGGCTTGTCATTTTCTTGTGGCTTATTTTTATGCCAATTACAAGAATTGTAAAGTCCAAATAAAAGTTTGTTTTATTCCCTGTTGTATCCTCAGTGCCTACAAGAGTCTTTGGCAGACTCAATAGTCATCTGCCCCATAAACCAAAACAAAGTACAGACTCTCTCAATGAGGAGCGACACGCTGTTTTGAAAGACCCTGGGACTGATGAGTACTATTAAAATCCCATTTAAGGTGAGGGAACAGAAGGGCAGAAAGATTGATGACTCATTCAAGGTCACACAGGCAGTAAATGAGAGCTGGCAATGGGTTCCAAGATTCTCTGTGTCCCCTAACAGGACAGAAAATCAGATACATTAGGTCATAAACCCAAAGCTCTTTAGACAGACTCTCAAACCACTGCTCATTTTTGGGCAACTAACTCTGCCCCTTGTTGAGTTCATTTGGGGAAGAAAAAATTTTAAAAGCTGCTTTTTCTATGACTGTACCCTGGGCAATTTGGAAGTGTTCTTTCCTCTGCCCCCACAACAACCTTATGAGGTGGGGCTATAATGCCTTCTTTATTCCAAGTGACAAAACTGAGACTGAAATGCACAAGGTGTCTTGGGGCCAGGGGCACACAGAAGTGAATAGAAGGGTCGCAGATGAAGGGCTTTCTCCACTGAGTCCCATCTAACTGCAATGCCGCGTTCCTTGACCTCTCTCCCAGAAACTGCCGATGACACAGATCGGTGCTGCCTGTCTGGGCGTTGAAGCTCAGCAGCTCAATGATTTTCTCTTCCTCCTCGGTTTCCTCTTTTGGAATATTGTCTCTAGGCTACTCCATGCTACTGACTGTACTCAGCTAACACGTTTGTGGGGTTTATTATCATCCTCAATAGCAACTAATTTGTGTGGAGAGCTGGTTGCCAGTCAGGCGCTGTGTTTTGTGTGTTCCTTGATTGGTGCCATCTTGTTTCCCAGCCACACTGGGAAGCGGGCGCTGTTACCTGCTGCTTCTCTCTGTTGCCTTTGTTGAATGAACTAATAATGGCCATTCCTTCACCAAGGGTCTTTGGTGACAGCGTTGCCCCAGTCAAGCTGTGGATTTGAAGGGCAGGAAGAGGAAAGAAACCATGGAGGAGAAAACCATCACCCTTGAGCAAAACCAGTGTTTCTTAATATTTTGGGGGTCATGGGACCTGTTGGAGACTTTGATGAAATTTCCGACTTATTCCCAGGAAAAGATCCATTAGTACATAGGAAACTTGGCTATAGTTTATACATGTACGTATCTCATTCACAGGCGCCGGAGGCCCAGGCTAAGAACCAGTGCTCAGAACGCTTCCACAGCCCGTTACAATAGTTTCCCAGCTATTTCAGTTTTCTAACCTGCGGCCGGTTTTATTTCCTGTTAGCTCTGCCCACGTGCGCTTCCACAGATGCCATTTAAAACTCGGTCTGGAAAAAACCTGACATGCAGAATAGCTCATTTTAAGAGTTAGCATGAAAAAAGACCCACCACAGCAACTATGGGTTAGGATTCTTTAAGAATTTCACAACTACCATTGAAGGTTACTCTTTGGATGTCCCAGTGGGGAGAAAAATAAAATGAAGTGGAAAATGGAGGTGATTACTGAGATAGTTCAAGACAAAATTACTTTCTTACTTTGCAATTTTAGAGAAGTATTAAAAATATGCCAGGAATGGGCAGGGCTCGCACAACCCGGCCCTGGCCACCGCCCCCCCCGCCCCGCCAGCTCACATTGGCCACTTTTCTCTCCCTGACTTGCTCCCACCATGTTGAGGGTCCTCCTTTTCCTCACTCTCTCCGCTCCTGGGCCCTCGCCTTGCTGTTCCCTCTCCAGAAACACTCTTCCCTAGATGCAAAAAAGGAGGGGAAAAAAAAAAAAGCAATAGCAAATGCTTACACAATTAGGGAACCTCTGCAAACAGGCAGCTTTTGGAGACCTGGGGAGGACATACATTTTAAAAAGATGATTTATAAAAAACAAAGTTACCACCAAACCCAAAACAGGACTCCCCAGTGCTTGTCGCACTGGAAGATCTTTGAACGAGGCTCCTCACCACTTCCATCCTCCCGATGAAACTTAATTGAGGTCAAGTTGCTGCCATGACCACCACCAACGCCCACCATTTCCTCTTCCCACCCTGAGAGGAAATGGTACAGAATTCTGGGCTGTAAGGAAAAACAGTCAGCTAAATGCTAATGATGCTAAAAGCTCAGAAATGTGATCTTATTCTACTTTTACATTTTTTCAGAAGTAATTATCCTCGAATTAATCAGTGGAAGCTCATCCCATAACTGCCATCTTTCAAAAAAAAAAGGAGAAGGAAACTCATTTAGCTAAGAGCAGCAGTTTTCATGATTTCTAAAACCCAATAGTTTTGTATTTTGTCAACAAAGGTCCTTGGTTTGGACTCATCTCAAAAAATATATATAGATGTAGATATATCTCCATATATATCTACATCTATCTATGTACATACAAACATATACGGTATTCTGAACGCAATAGGGACCTGTTCATTAACTACCAGAGACTATATCCTTTACGAAGAACTAAGTGAGATGAAACATCAAAAGCATCAAGACAGTGTCGGGAACACAGCTATCCCTTGCTATATATGTGCCACTGAAGTTACTACTGTGTAAGAGGCCATTGCACCCACTGGGTAAATAGTTTTTGGTGCCTCCCTACAGCAGTCCCTCCTTCCAACAACTTGCCCGACTTCGTTAGGGTCTCCTGTTGGGACACAGTTCTCCGGGGGTCTCTGGCATTTCTGCACATCTGAGCAGAGGTACGGACAGCATCTGATCGTGGTCTTCCATTTCAAGGGTATGTGTAGCAAACAGAGATCATGTCTCTTTCCGGAGCAGAAGGGCAGGTTTGTTCGCCACCCAGAATACTGAAGATACCATCTCCCTCCAAGCCCCGGCTTGCTACAGGGTCTGCTGTAGAAGATTAGGATTTCCTGTGTTCGGGGTTCTTTGGTTTTGACACAAACCCCTTGTGTGCACAGCATCAAATGCACCCACAGGACTCTGGGGGGCTTGGGGAAGTGCAAGTATGGAGCGAAATTTCTTCTGATGCTGTAAGAAAAGTCCTTTGTCTCAGTGCAGAGCAGGCCTGACTGATGTCCTCAGAGGGACCTCAGGGAACTAGGATATCCTTGCGAGGTTGACCTTCGGTTGTGGTGTGGGACCTTGGATCTCGGGAGGGTTCCCACCACCCCCCGGGGCTGATAAGAACGGCTCAGGGCGCCTGCACTGTCTGTACAAACAACGCAACTCATGCCAAACACCGGCTTTCCTTCTGCGAGTCAGAAATTTTGGTACATGCCTCGCAGGGGCTGCCGACGTGCCAGTAAAACCCCTGGGTGCTGAGGCTCGCCTGAACTTCCTCGTGGCGACATTCCACGTGTGTTGTCACAGCCTGTCACGGGGGGAAAGGGTGTCCTGTGTGGCCACAGGGAGAGGTCCTGGCAGCATGAGCCTGCTTTCCCCTGTGCTCACCTCGCTGCCCTTCCTGCCCCGTATCCCTTCATGGCGACAGATCGCGGCCGTGAGTCTGACTACATGCTGAGTCCTGTGAACCCTCCTTGTGAATCACTGGCCCTGGAGGTGGCCTGGGGATCCCCGATGTAGTCTCTGACCCCAGAATCTCATGTCTTCTCTCCGTATTCACAGAACTGTGGCCAGCTAGCCTTAATCTGAAGGAGGGGGAAAGCTCAGACATTTCACAGTTCTTGGCAGAAACACCTCTTTACTTTTCTCAGGACATACGTGTGTGTCTGGTGTGTGGGGTGTGTGCGCGTGCGCGCACATGCAGCGGTGAATTCCAGGTCTTGGTCCACTTGGGCTTTATATGTCCTGCTCCCCATGAAGCTTTGAGGGGCAAGTACCCAATCTAAGACAACCCAGGAAGAATCAAGTCTTTCTTCTCCTCTGGCCGCAAGCCAAGAAGCATCTGACAGGGGGCAGCTGCTCTGCAATCATGAGCATTAACTGAGCAGAGAGAGAGGGACTAAGAGACTGGGCCTCGCGGATCCTGTCAGAGCGCCCAAAACCAGCTGGTCTTGAGGCCAGTTGGCCCCTGGATGATTTTAAGATCCTGGAGTTGATAAAGCTCCTTTATTTGCTTAAGAGGGAGTGGGTATAGTTTTTTGATCCCTTGTAACAGAAGGAATTCTGGCTGATACAGAAAACAGCTGTTCAGAGAAGCTGGGTTCCCTGTTGCGGTGCAGAGAGCCAAGCCTTGCCAAGTGGGCCCCTTCCTCAGGAGCCCCCAGACTCACAGCAGCAATAACCATCCTTCCAGCAATTTAAAAGCACCTACTAAGCACAGAGCAGCTGGGAGGAGACAAACCTGCTTCCATTTCAGGTGGCAAAGGTGTTTCGTAGCTGAGATGCTTATAGGAACACAGACCCTCACCTGAAGTGAAGGTGGGATGATGTAACCATAGCAACACAAGCTAAAGACCCAGCTGCCAGGAGAAGTGGAGGTGGTTTGACGGGAGGGAGCTCCAAGCCACGTTTAGATCTGTGCGCGGAGACGTGTAGCCTGTCCCCGCCGCCCTTCCTGCCTGGACCACGGCTTTGCTTTCCCCGCACTAGCCTTCCGCCCCAGACCTTGGCCTCTACTGCATCCGTCTGCATCCTCTGGGGAGTGGCATTTGAATAACAAAAGTAATCGTTGGAGGCTTTACTTTGGTACCAGAACCCGGGTAACACAGATGAAAGACATTTTCAAGGATGTTTCATGATTATATTTACATAATATTATAAATGTTGAGGTATACACCATTGCTGACTGAGCATCCTGAATTTATCAACACTGTACTGTACAAAATAAATTAATAGGGAACCCAACAGAACAGGCTATGTTGTAAATATAATATCCATCTTTACCATGGTGGAAACACAATAGCAAATATAAATATGTGTTTGTAATAAGGCAGAGAGACATAATTTGTACCAATCTCACAGAATGAATTCAATAAAAAATGAAACACTCATTACCTTATCTAACAGAGGCAACAGCAGTTACTCATTTGAAAATAAGTCTCCCCTTCCTTACTTTATCTTCTCCCTGGCACCTGAGAGATTGTATACGCATTTCTCTGTCACTGTATCGTCTGTCTCCTCCGTAGATTATAAGCGTCCCAAGGAGAAGGGGTCTGTTTAACTTACATCTACACGTGCAGCGCCTAGAATCTGACTACAGTACATGCCCAATAAATAAATATTAAATGAATGAATTTACAACAGGCATACATTTAACCAATATAAAAATTGGTTTCTACAACGTCACTGTCTACACCGACCTCACTTGATACATGCTTAGCAAGGTCCTCTCTTAACACGTGTCGCTCTGTCCTGACCCTCTGTGCGATAGGTGAGTGTCCTGGGGTCCCCTGGGCACTTGGTTACACCGTCTCAGGGCAGGTGGCCTTTTCCACCCACTGGCGCTTCTCCAGGCTGGCTTTTCCTCTAAGACAGAGTCGCACAGGAGGGAGGGAGGGAGGCCGGGAGGGCGGCTCATCCCAGCATCCCTCTGAATTGCCGTGTATGCTGCTCCAGCTTCTCAGCCTCGGCCTGGAGCTGCTCCAGGGCCGCAGGGCTCGGGAACTTGAGCACGGCATGCTTGGTGGCCAGGGCCAGGTTCTTAAGCAGGCTGCAGAGGTGGCTGCTGCCGCGGAGGATCTCATTGCGCACGTCCTGGTCCTGGGTCTCATGGCACAGCGTGTCCACCAGCTTCTGTCCGATCATGATGGCCAGCTTGCTCTGTGCGATGAAGATCTCCGGGGGCTGGCTGCAGCTGAGGCTGCTGCGGAAGACGCCGATGGCTTTGAAGAGCGCCCCGAAGTAGAGGCGGCAGTGCTCCGACAGGTGGACCTTCCTCTTGGGGTCCTGCGCACCCAGGGGTCCGGGCACAGGGTGACTGGTATTCTAGAGGAGCAGAAGAGGACAGTAGGTAAGAGACAGATTCCCTCAGTAGGCCGTGCTTGGCTCGCTTTTCCTATTTTTGCTCCATTTGGTAGAGTTTTTATAAGAAAAAGGGCAATTTTGTTTGGGGAGGCCCGTAGGTATAACATTTGCCTCACAAACTAATTTTAATGTTTTCAAAGCACTGTTACATAAAAGCGATAACACATACAATCTTATACATTGCATTATATGCACTCTTACTTATCGTATACAAATATATAAAATCTTATTCAATTCTCTCAACAAACCCATTCTAAGAAACACAGTGACAATGGCTAAACTTATAACTTTCAAACTTGCAAGTACACTTGACGGTGAGATGAAAATGTTTGCTCGGTGAACAAATTCTAAAGAATTTAAAAAATCCTTTCTAGCTCCAATATCAGAGGTAACACTTGAACCTAAAATTTTTTTGGAAGAAATCTAAAGATGCTGACCTACCTGCCTTAATAGTAAAATACTTCTCTTGCTTGCTAATAAGGTTTCATCTAGAATGTCATTGCTATGAATTTTTTTCTGGACTATGGAACCCATGGCCCCCAAAGCCTGCCCCCTCTGGAATGATGCTCTGCATCTCACTTAGTGGTGACCACGTCAGATAACCATCGAAAGCCCTGTTGTCAGGTTATAGGTGAGGAGACTGAAGCGCCGTAAAGTAAAGAGGCTGCCTAGAGCCATTCGATGAGCAAAAGGAAGGTCTGGAGGCCTGGGACAAGGCAGGGAGGTCTGACACTCATTCTTTCCGTTAAACTGTGCTCTCTCTCATCAAACTATAATCAAAATGCACAGTCCAGAAACACTCCGACAGTGTTATGGTCTGACTGCGTCCTCCCCAAATTCCTATGTTGAAACTCTACTGTCCAGTAGGAAGGCATGAGGAGGCAGAGCCTTTGGGATGTGAATAGGCTTGGATGTGGCCACATGGGTGGGGCCCCCGTGGATGGGATTAGTGCCCTTACAGGAACCAGGGAGAGCTCGCTTCCCTGCTCTGCCCTCTGCCCCGTGAGGACACAGACAGAAGATGGCCTGCAGGCTGGAAGGGGGCCACCAGCAGAGCCTGACCATGCCGGTCCCCTGATCTCTGAACGCTTCCAGCTTTCAGAACAGTGAGAAATAAACATCCGCTGTTTACAAGCCACGCCATCTACAGGACTTTGTAACAGCAGCACAAACGGACTACGGTAGGCAGGCAAAGTGACAAAGAGGTTGGCATGTTGGTTGAGATGGATCTCTGGGCGCAGGGAGCATGAGAAGGAAGGAGCAGATGCTGGAATGTCAGCATCTTAGCTTGAAAGTGTTAACTGTAGGTAAAAATAAAATTTAAAAAAAGGGCTGTGATTCTCATCCTGCGGGGGCTGGAAATGTGTGAAGATATTTGTGCTTCACCAGGGAGCACTGCAGGCAGAGTCAGAGGGCAGGGGCTGCGGGTGCCGGATGTCCACCCGCACAACAGAGAACTGTCCCCGAGTGGTTGGCAGCTCCCCCCCGCCCCACACTGGGAAGCACTGTCCGTCTAAAGCAGTGGCTTCCCAAGTGCAGTCCTTGCACCAGGGACTCAGTTTCCCTGGGAACTTGTCAGAAAAGAAATTCTTGGCCGCATCCCAGACCGACCGAACCAGACACTCTGGGAGGGGCCTGTGGGTTTTAAGATGCCTTGCAGGAGGCTGTGGCCAACTCTCAAGTCTGAGAGGTGCTGGCCTGAGCCCCCGGCTTCGGGCTGTTTGAAGCGGCATGGCTTCCAGCGAGCCGGCAGGCCCGAGAGCGTTTGAGGTCTGAGAGCTGAGAAGCAGGAGGTCCGGATTGTCATCCTAGTTTGCCTTCGAGAAGGCAAGAGGCCTTGTCCATGTGCTTGGACATCATTCTCACTCCCTGTCACCCCCCCAACCCCAGCCTGGGGGGGTGGGACGAGGGGTGCGGGCGGAGGATTGGGCTGGCTCACCGCCTCCCCAGGCCTCAGTAATTCAGAGAACCCTTCCCATGTTGTGCCCTTTCTGCCTTGCTCTTCGCATCAACTTGCTTCATCTTTGTCTTTAAACGGATCCACGTGTATTAATCAAAAGGAAACTTTTTGACTTGGTAGATGCAAAACTACTGTCATTTTGCATTGGCAAATGGAAAACTACTGGCAGAAAGATGAGGTGATCAATAAAAATAAGCACAGTGATAACATTTTTGATTTTAAAAAAAGAAAGGACGTCCAGTGTCAAAAGGTGTTGAAGATGCACAAGCCCCAGACCCAAACGGCTTTTCCATTGGAGTCAGAAGCCTTTGAAGAGGATGGCGAAGGGGAAGGGAGCCTGTGGGGTTCACGGCCACCTCAGCGCTACCCGTGACAGACTGCAGAGCACGCGCCATTATTTCATGAGCGGTTCAAGGACCGTGTTCCCCATCCTTGGGGCTCCCTGGGCTTGTTCTTCTCCCGGGTCCCTTCTCTGGTAACGAGGAAACACCAGCCCTCCTCCCTGTGGGCCAGGGCTGTATTGTCGAATGATCCACGGCAGGAAACATCTCTCAGGATAAAGCATCTGCATCGGAAGTAGTGGGAGGTGAGTCTTATGCTTACCTGTGTTTCTAAGTCTTTGTTTTCATCTGGCCTTTGTTCCAAGATGGGTTTTACTTCCTCTTCTAGGTTAGGCAACTTCTGAAAAAGAAAACCCCTTTGAATCACTCCCATGAACGCTCTTTTTTTTTTTTTTAACCACCGGATAGCTATTTTAGTCCACTTTAACACTGGAATATGCCTCTTTATAGTTTTGTTCTGTGTACTGATGCCTTTTTCAACACAAGGGCACATTAGCCACCCAAGGGCTGAACTGTGTCAATGACAATATGGCCTAGTATAATGACACACAGGGTTTTTTTTTTTTTTAGATTTTTATACATATATATTTATTTACTTCATTGGGAAATGAAAAATATCCACATTTCTACCTAGTCTGGAGTGTGTTAACACTCTTACACCACAAGGCACTTTGGCAGAATACCAAGACACCAACACCGGGCAGAAAGCGCCAGGTTCTCTACCTGACAGAGCCCCCAGGTGACCTGCTGTGCCTCCTGAGACTTGCAATTCTTGAACTAAAGGTTCTCTTTCTACGGAGCATCTGAACTCATGCAGCAGCGTTGTTCTAGGGGCGGCTAGGGTTTGGAGGCTGTGAAGACCACACACAATTTGGAAGAGTGTTTACACTTCCTCTTCCGTTTCTAAGAAACACGCTGATGATGACTAAATGTGTAACTTTCAAAAATGCAAGAATACTTGATGGTGGGATTAAGAAATTGGCTTAAAGAATGGATTCCAAAAGGCTTTGGAAGTTCTTTCTAATCTTAGTGCCCAGAGAGGTAATCTCCAAACCCCCACATTTGGAGAAGATACCCTACCTGCCTTAATATTAAAATATTTATCTCACTTCTTAATAAGATTTCATCGAGAGTTTTACTCTCATAATTTTAGTTTTTGGAAAGTGGAACCAGTGGCTCCCAAAGCCTATATAGCTATTGAAAGATTCTTACCATCTAACTCATTGGCAACTACTCCAGACAAAGATCAAAAGCCCCTTTACATGATACACTCAGGATGCTGAACTCACCTTTTCACGGGTATTTGTCCAGTTTTTCTTCAGCAGTTCAGGGGAGAGGTCGCCTTCCCTTTGTTTAGTGAAAGGAGCACTCCTTTGATGTGATTCCATTTCCCTCTGCGGAAGCTGGATGCATTTTGCAAGCTTAGATCCTGTGCTGGGGGTCAACGGCACGGTCTCTTCTTTTTCATAATTCTGCTTGAAAAGGAGCCTCCCGTTGGCAATGACAATGGAGGCAAACCTCTTGATGTCTTCTGGCACCATCCGCGCCACCATGACAAACCTCTCGAGGTCATCCAGGCTGTTTTGGACTTTGTCCGTCACAAGGACTTCCAGGGACCAATGGCAGCCATCCAGGCTCTCCTTGGTTTCTAGCAGGATCTGGTAGGAGTTGCATATTGTCTGGAGCTGATTCCTGATTTTGGCCTGAAGGTTACTGTCGGTGAGGTGACAGGCAGCCCCACAGACGCCGTGGGCAAAATCCAGGAATTCTCTCAATGACTCTTCGATGTGGTCGGCAGCCCTGTGGATCGCGTCGATGTGGGCCTCCAGGTGGTCTCGGAGCCGCCACGTCCTGCTCACAAAGAGCATCAGGCCCGCCACCGAGCTGGCCACCTTGTGCTGGAGAGCCGTCACCGTCCCCTTGGCCAAGTCCAGGTCCAAGGACAGCTCTTTCGCCGACTCCTCGCAGAAGGAGCTAGACGAAGAATCGGTGGATGTGGAGGAGCATGAAGACACGACGCTGACCCTGCTGTCGGAGCTGTTAATGGATAACCCGTCCGGCTCGGGGCAGAGCCACGTGGCCTGCATGGGGGACCAGGGGCAGCTGTAGTCCCCGACATTCTCAGGCGCCCCACCAGGTTTCTTCAGCTCTTTGGCAGCCTCAGGGGCACTTGGCTTGGCTTTAGGGATGTCGTAAATGTTTGGCTTGGTGTTCTGCTGCTCCACTCGGGGAGTCAGAAAGCTCGAGGGAACCCTGTACCCGACACCATCCTCTGAGCGGGGGGTGTCCCTGGGCTCTGGCACGCAGTAAGCAGGGGTTTCTGGAAGGCTGAGCTCCTTCTGCGTGGGCACATTTTCACCCAGGTGTGGCGCGAGGGACCTTGCTCTGCTCTTCAGAGGACAGGGGAAACCAGGCATTGGTCTGGGGAAAGCATGGGGCCCAGACTTGTCCGCCAAGCTCGTTAGAGATCCATTGCTCACATTGGCTTTTTTGGGAGACGCAGGGGTGTCATAAATCCATTCTGATTTCTGAGGGTTCGGTAATGTCTTGAAGCAGGCTCTCCTGAAGGTGACTGTTGATGTCACGGGGACACTCAGCCTCTGTGGAGAGCCACACAAAGCCGCCCAGGTTAGTAGCGATAGGAAGAGGTGCGAGCCCCCCCCCTGTGATAAACGTGTACTGCGCGGAGGGCCTGGAATGGCAGGCGCTGCGCCGATCGTCAGCGCCCGGCTCAAGCCCCGCAGGCGCTCCCCGTGGCCATGTTCGTCAAGGCCCTCCCAGCTACGTTCCGGTCTCCTTCTGAGCCTCCCTCCTTCCCGCTTCCGTCACCCGCAGGGCCAGCGCCCAGGCTGTTCACCCCTGAACCCGTCGGAATGGCTACTTCATAGCGCAGTAGTGAACGTCACCCAAACTGGTCCCTGCTCTCAGTGCGCTCTGGGCCCCTCCCTTTCCATATCACACACTCCTCCGCCCCCTGGGGACGCCGCAGAGGCGCCAGCTCCTCCGTAATAAGGCCTTCCCTGATAACGGGGGCGCCTGTCGGTGGCACACACGTGACAGCATCCAAGGATGAGCAGAGATGACGCAGGTTTCAAATGAGGGCGTTTCCCCCAGATACGGGTAAAAACCTACGTTAACGTGACCTGCGCCGGAGGCCGCTGATGAGAAGGAGCATTGATCTAAGGTCTGCCGGTCTCCTGCTCTGTCCCCACACGGCGGCGAGTCCCTCTCAGGGACTCTCCCGGGCTCACCCTGAGTCTGTCATAGAAACAGAGGCTGGAGCAGCATGAGGACTTCTCCCAGCCACCTGCGCCGTCCCGCTCCTGAACCCAGCTGCGGCCAGGAGCCTCAGCGCAACGAGGTCTGCCGCGAGGAACTTGCATTGCGCCTTTGGACCAAGCTCATAAGAAGGGCCCCAGAGAAGGTCCAGGTTTCCTACCACGAACTGGAGCACCTGGTCATACTTACACTGGGCTGGCTGGCCTGGGGCCCGCGTCCTGCCTTCTGGGGGCTGGCGGGTACGTCGTATAACTGCTGCTTCTCCGGTTCCTGGGGAAAGACCGCAAAGTAGGACAGTGTGGATTTTTCCTTCCCAAAGGCTACCCCTCACAAACTGGCTCACACCAGTGTTGTTTCCAAATGCAAACGCGTGTGTCTGGGAGGGCTTTGGGTCACAGCGCTCTGGGGTGGAGGCTTATGCGCAGCAGTGGGCATAGTTTTGACTGCAGACTTTGTGCGTTAACAGATACTTCTTAGGCAAAGTGGGGACAGAGGGTAGAGAGACTGAACTGCAGTTGCCTGAGTTAGAAACGATAGTTCAATGCCCTCTGGAGGTTAACCTCGAGCCTGAACCACAGGAGCATGAATGAGGCCGGGGCGTCCTGGGTCCTCTGCATCCCTTCTCTGTTTTCCTCAGAAGAATTTGTCCCGGGCCTAGTACTCATGTGTTCGTCCTGCACACACTCACGGAGTACCTGCTGCCTCCGGACGCTAAGCCGGAGGACACATCTACGTCCAGTGATGAGCAAAAGACACGGTGGCTGTACAGATAGCACGCATTTTTGTGTGTGCGGCAATTAGAAGATACTTATGTTAGGGTGTGAAAATCAGGTTCTGTGCCCCGACGCGAGGAGAGAGAGCACCGGGACAGGTTTTGTGAAGGAGAGAGTTGGAGGGAGGGCCACCCAGACCCCAGACAACAGCCTCTGAGGACCGGGCCCACAGCAGGGTTGGAACGCCAGGCAGTTCCACGTGCATTGAAGGAACAGGAGAGATGCAGCCACGGAGCAGTTTGAATGGTTCAAGGAGTGAGTCACGTTGTTCTTTGATTGCGTGAAGCATACCTTACAGACCTGATGTACCAGTTACATACAGATAAGTTCAAGAAACACCTAAGATTCCATCCCCCAGAGGTAATCGATGTTAGGATAGCCAACGATGATGCTAAGACGTGCTGTACAGGGTGGGGCAAAAGGAGGTTTACAGTCATTCGTATGGAAAATAATACGATAATTAATAAATGAGGATACAAGAGTAAACTCCGGGTATTGCATACTCACAACTGTAAACCTACTTTTGTCCCAGCCAGTATATCCTTCAAACTATTCTTACAAATGCACATGTGTGCATGCATATATATGTGTATGCATAGATATAAAGTGTGCATTTCAACTGAAAAGTAAAACTTTTAGACACATTCAGCATTCAAATCGTCCTGACGTTCTCCCACGCAGGCCTGAGCCCCCTGGGCACAGAGCTGGCCTCCAGAGCCGGGAGTGGACGGATGTGCGCTCTGCGTGACACTGGGAACCCCACTGTCCGGGTGGGGGCGGGATGGGGTGTGGCCAGGGGCAAGACTCACCTTCGGGGCTGGGGGGCAGTGGCTCTGGACAGGCACGTCGTACAGAGCTGGCGAGGAGGCCTGCGCAGGTCTGGGCATCGAGAAGACGGCCTTGGGGAGACAAAGGAGGAGGGAAAGGAAACGTCACCCGCATATTCCCACACCAAGCTGTCTCACCTCCAGGCCGCCTCCCCCGATGCCGCGGGCCTCTCCCCACCCCGCCGGGTGTTAATGCGGCTGACCCTGTGGGTGACATTTGCTGTGGCCACGCCTACAGGGAGCAGAGGGGCTTTCCTGTGTGTGGATTCCAGGTGGGAGGGAGCCAGCCCCCGGACGCCCATTGTTTCTTGGAAGTTCAGGATGGCCATTGATTCAGGAACCTATCTGGAAGCCTGGTTTCGGAAAGTTTAGGGCACTGGGAGGAAACTCTGGTTCAGAGTCCGAGAGCATGTCCGTCATTTTCACTTGAAACATGAACAATTCCCTTCTCTGAATGTAAACCAAAACCAAATGTGCTTTTTATTTGGTGATTAAAAAAAAAGAGTCACGCCAATGTATTGCATTAAGGAAGTTGGAATAAAAAGTAAAACAAGCTCAAGACAGCGGTCACCCTGGGGGAAGTGACCAGAAACAGGCGCGAGGGGCTTCTGGGGCATTAGTTTGGTTACATTTCTTTCTTCTTCCTCCTCCTCCTCCTCTTCTTCTTTTTCTTCTTTTTCCGCTTCTTAGCTTTGGTCTGTTTCTTGACCTGAATCCTAGTAACTGAGCTGTACCCTTAGGATTTGCAGGTTAAACTTCAGCAAGAAAGTTAATGCAGGGGGAAGACAGTGCCACTACAGGTCAGGTAGACGGAGGTCAAGGGCCTGCCGAGGGCTCTGCCCCTGGGCGTTGCCCATCCAGGGACGCAGAGAAACCAGCAGACACAGCCGGGAAGCCTGAATCTCTGGTCTTCAGCAGCCCTGTGACCCCGAATGGCCCATTCCACCTCCCTAAGAATTGGCTTCTTCACTTGCAAAGCGGAGGCTTGTTCTAATCTGATGGACCCCGGAGGCCCCTTTCAGCCACAGAGCCATCTGATGTGGACGCGTAGGCTCCTCTGTTAGGCCAACATGAGGACAGGGACAAGCCTCCACCATCTTGGTTTTTAATTCATGGCGGCCGACCTTCATCTAGAAAGCGGCGACCCAGGGTCTCCCTGGCTGAGTCCCAAGCCTGGGAACCACCGGTCGGAGGACAGTACCACGCTGGTGGGGTCGGCTCATCCCAGCGCCGGCCACTTGTGTTCAGGGAGTGTTCCCTGGGCGGCCGCAGGCACAGGGCTAACCACTGGGCTCCCCAAGTGGGGAGGACGTGTCGGCCTGCCCCGTGGGTCAGAGGACTGCTCGCCTGTCATCCACTTGCTTTCTTGTGTCCCTTCCTGCTGGTAGTAGAAGCAGAAGCAAAATTACTTAGGATCACCCAACAGTGCAACTGGAGCGGACTTTGGAAACGGCCAGGTCCTCGGCTCTCCTGATGCAGAGGAAGAAAGGGAAGTGTGGAGGGGTGATGTGATGCTTCCCGTCACCCAGCGTGGTCGTGGCTGCCCCAGAAGCCAAGTGCACCAGGACTCCTGGTTCCTGAGCCACCGGTGGGCTCTCCAAGACCCCCAGGGACAGAGAAGGCAGTGATAAAAGGGGTGGGTGGGTGGAGGGAGGGAGCACACATGCAGAGAGGGCAGCCGCAGAGGAAACAGCAGCAGGACTCAAGGCTAGAGAGGTTCCCCGGGGGTTTTACGGAGTCCACCGCGGGAACCCCACTGGAGCGGCAAGGGGCCCCTGGTTTCTGAATTCCCCCTCTGTGGCTGTGGTTCCTGTCTGGGCGCTGTGGCCTGCACAAGCCAGGGCTCCAGTGGTCAAGGACAAATCTTACAGCTAGTGTCCTGACCCCCTTCTGTGGGGACAGGGGACGCAGTTTCCCTGTTACACCCGTCGTGAGCCCACAAGCTGAAGTCCACAGTTAGGAGGCCGGCTGCCGTACCTGGTTGCTCCCTCCTTTCAACAGACGCTTCCTGAGCAGCGCGTTGGGCATTAGGGATACCCGGTGAACTGTGGACAGTCCCCGTTTTCCTTTCGGGACAGGCAAAAACAGCTTTTGTTTGTTTGTTTTCTTGCATCGTTTTGAAAAGAAACTCCAATTAATTTCAGCCGGGGCCACTTGCGTTTCCCCAGGGAGCCACCAGCGAGGCCGAGTCAGCTGCTCAGACGGCAGCTGAGCGTGCCAGGCTGAGGCTGGCGCCAGCTGTTCTAGAAAAGTGATTCAGGGTCCACCCCAGGGGCCAGCTGCAAGAGCATGGACAGCTTCTTCCTGGTGTTTGCAGTCAGTGCCCGAGGGGCAGCTGTTCCGTGTGACAACTGCCTGGTTCTCTGCCTGGCAGCCCACGGAGTCAGAAAATCTGAAGTATTCGGAATCTTCTAAGGAGTCAACAGCTTCCCGTTTGAAGCATTGGGAGCTGGTGCTGCGGAGGCCTGCGTCGTAAGGACAACGTTCCTGGGGCCCCAGACCATCCAGCGGATGTTCCTGGACACAGGCCTCGTCGGGACCTCTGCCCCAAGCTGTGGCCAGGGAAAAGGTGTCATGTGAGCTGAAAGCACAGCCCATGACAGCAGGAAATGCCCGCAGTGACTGGAGACGCTGCAAATCTGTTCTGCATTCTTAACACCGCATGGAGGCCAGGGTTCGGGGAAAGGGGCGCATTGTTACTCTTCTCCGGTTTTGTTTTCATTCCCTGCTCTCTTTAAAAATTTTTTTTTATTCTGCATTTACTGAGTGCTCCTTTTCCTCTTTTTAAACAGTTTCTACTTTTAAAAATTCCAGAGGTAATACACGCTCTATGTTCTCACAGACATCAACTTCCTAATCTCTCGGTTGATTAAACTTCTCTTGGTGCCCCCCGCGGCCCCGTGCCAGCCACGGTCTCGGGTGCTCGCGATGTGACCGCGATGAAGTCAGGTTCCTGCCCAGAGTCTTCTTTCACTTTCTCCTTGACCAATTCTGCTTCCGAAGGCCAACCACCACTGGCGTGAGTCCTTTTCACAGCGTGAGCAGGCACACACACGGAACTTATTTTCAGTTTTTGCTTGTTGATTTGGTTTTTATTTTAAGAGCTCTTAATTCCCCTGTAAAAATACCTCATAGAGCTCCTCCGCCTTTGTTTCACAACTGCGGGATAGTTTGCGGGAGGGGCGTGCCGGCGTTTTTGTACCCACCCCCTTGTTAACAAACACTCAAGCATCTTCAGCCTTTCCTTACGACAAACAATGCTATGGCAGCCATGGCCTTGCCGTCCAGATAGATCTTTGCCTTCTCATGTATTTCTGCAGCAATTCTGGAAGGAATGTGTCTCGGTTGAAGGGCACACAAAATTGGAATCTGATGAGTAACCTCTTACTTTTGAATCCATGGAAATTTAACCCCTCCATTTATCACTTGCAAGCCTGAGGTTCCTACTTGGGGTAAAAAAAAAAAAAAAAAAAAAAAAAAAGAAACCGAAAAAAAGGCTGGGAAAAAAACACTTCCCAGCACAGCGGGACTGAATGTTCAGCTTCGTGCCAAGTGTGGGTGTCTGGAGAGGGGGGACATCACGGGGGTGACGTGACCAACAATGACAACTGACGGAGGAGCCAAACGGAAGCTCGCTCTGTCACGCCAACAGTCTGGTTCCCACTCGGTACATTTGCTTTGAGGGACACCCATCGCGGAAGGGGTGACCACTCCCTTGGGGAGTTCACATCGCTAGACCTGTGTCTTTCATTTGGAAATGTGCTCACCTGTTTTGGAAAGCTTCGCGTCGTGTCGAAGACGACTCTGGCGGGGGTGGGTAGTGCCGGTAGTTCGTAGACTTGGACCACGGGTGACGACGTTCCCTCCACCCAGCTCTTCATGTGCTCGTACACGGGGCTTGGAGGTGGGGGGCCGAGCAGGGTGGGCGCCTGGTAGGTCTCCTTGGAGCTGGTGAGAGCATCTTCCAGGCCTCTCGGGAAAGGGGGACAGGGCCTGTCTGCGGGGGCCTCCTGGAGGACTTGCAGGCGGTTGGCCGGGGCCAGGCCTTGCCTCCCGTGGAGCACACACCTCCACCAGCCCTGGCTTTCCGGCACATTTTGCTCCAGAATGGTCAGGATGTCCCCTCGGCAGAAGGCCAGCTCATCGCAGCAGTCAGGGCGGTTGTCATAAAGCGCCTTGGCCAGCAGTGTCTGGGGGCCGGAGGGGAGAGAAGTCACCATTATTCCCGCCACCAGTGACCACTGCACCGGTACCACTCCCTCCAGCACCTTAGAGAGCCTCACAGCTGCTATTTGATCTCCTGTCCTTGTCCCCAGGGACTCTTGTCCCTGCGCTTTGCCTGATGCATTCCTACCCATTCTTGTGGTCTCAGTTGACATGTGACATCCTCGAGGAAGTCTGGCCTGCACCCTGAGACCAGGGCCAATCTCCCTGATGTGTCCTCATCGCCCTGACTTACTTTGGAGCAATGATGGCCTTTGTAGTTACACAGCTGAGCACAGCATTGCCCATAGTTGGGCTGAAACCCTGGTTCTGTGACTTCCTAGCTGTGTGTCCTTGAGCAAATTGGCTACTCTTCTTGGGCCTCTGTTTCCTGGTCTGTAAAATCGGAGGAGTAGCAGTGTCTTACCTCACAGTGTTATTGTGAGAATTAAACAGGTTGATATGTATATAAATCTCACGGAACAGCAAGCACCCTGGCACCTGGTAAGGGCTCAGCAAAACGTGGCTGGCACCATCGTAATTACTGCCTTGCTCTTTGTCTGGCTCTCATTACTGTTTCCCTGAATTGGATTGGAAGTTCCATGTCTGCTGGGACCATATCTCACTTATGTACTGCTCTGCCTCCAGAGCTAAGTATGGACCCAGGCGCGTAGGTGATGCCAAAAAAAAAGTCCATTAATTCATGAATGGTGAAACAAACACACAGGGGTTAGTGACCTGTCTGTGGTGGCCAGCCAGGGTCAAAGCCCAGCCCGTTCCCCGAATTCTCAGACACCTGCTCTGTCCATGAGCCACACGCTCCTCCAAGAACATCACGGGTGGCAAGGGTTGAGCTTCCTTCTCATTGGAACTTCCCCCCGTAATGAAATGAAGGCAGTTTGTGTGGGTTCAACAAACATAATCCCTCTCCCTGTTATAGCAACGCATGTTTATTGCAGAAGAATTGGGAAATATAGGTCCTGGCACACAGTAGGTGCTCACTGGCTGCCTGGTGAGTTCATGGCTGGGTAAGGATGAGTGTGATGCCCCTAGAGTCAAGTTTTCGGGAGGTAAAGTGACACATGGCACCCAGATGACAGCTCTTATTTCTGTCTAGGGAAGGGTAGAGAGGACGCTCTCTTTGACCGTCTGCCCAGCCTTTTAGGTGGCCTCCAGTGAGAATGACCGTGGAGATGTTCCGAACACGGACCACAAGGCCTGGTCAGTCCACACACTCAGGGACTGTGCCTTGGCCGTGCCATGAGCAGGTCTCAGGGGAATGTGGGTGCTCAGCCTGGAGAACCCAGAGGAGATGGAGCTCTTTCAGGGTTGTGCAACCTGTGGCCTGCGGGCCATATGCGGCCCAGGATGGCTCTGAATGCGGCCCAACACAAAATTGTAAATTTACTTAAAACATTATGAATATTTTTTTTCTGTGATTACGTGTTGCAAATGTATTTAATGTGTGGCCCAAGACAACTCTTCTTCTTCTAGTGTGGCCCAGAGATGCCAAAAGGCTGGACACCCCTGATAGAGGGAGCAGAGTTTTAGAATCCCCTCGAGTATTGATTAAATGTCAAGACTTACTAAAGTTACATTCTACTTTATACTTTTTTTCCAGTTAAAGGGGCAAATAATTTGTGTTCAGTAGGAAAAGATAACCTGGAAGACTATGGTTTATAACTTTGTCAGACTTGAATCAGATTGTACCTAGCCCTGAACCCTAACCTAATATTCCTTTATTAAATTGCCCACAGATACCGAGATCCTCAAATGCTCTTTGACCTGGTTTTTGCATCTGTGTGGTTCCCTCATTAATCAATCAGTTTAACAAAATCTTTGACATGAGTTCATTTTCTATTTGCACAAGAGTCATGATTTTGCCCTTTGGAAAATTAGACATTGCCCACACCGGGAAGCAAAGGGAAAACAAAAACCCAGTTTCCAACCGATCATCACAACTCCCATGAAATACAAGTCAATGCCCGCCATCTGAAATCTGATCATGTTGCTATGTTGTTAAAAAACCTCCAATTGTTGAAAACCGCATTTAGAACAGCACCGAAGCTCCACACCCGATCACCCTGCCCAATCGGCTCTGGCCCACTACTCCCGTTCATTTCCCTCTGGCCACATGGTTTTCTTCCTTTGCTCACACACACTAAGTTGCTTCCACCCCAGGACCTTTGCCTTCGGATGCCTCCCTGCAAGACTTGGAGGTGATCACCCTCCAGGCGAGCTGGAGAGAGGACCCAGCGGGCATGGTGAGGCCGGCAATGTGCGATGAACAAGGACCAGCAGCAGCGAAGTTCATGGTGCACCTAAGTCCCCGGCACCGTGCAAACCTCTGTGTAGATAACACCTTGCCTGAACGCAACCAACACACCTCGACAAGGGAGCCTACGAATAGTTACAGTTGTCACTGTGGCTGCCCACAAGGTATTTTTTAATAGGGTGTTAATTTGGACATGCTTGTGTAAATAGTTAAGAGGTAAGAGGTAAAAAAAGGACATATAGTTATATTCTTCTTCCCCCTGGGCACACAGGCAGTTGGAATCTGAGTACCATGGAAGAAGTCTTCCGAACCGGTTTCCAAAAAGGGCATTCTGCCCAAATGCCCACCTTCACACAGCAGCTGAGAGAGGAGAAAGGAAAATGAATAAGCATCTGGAAGGAAGAAGGGGAAGACACGCAGGGAAAGGCAGGGAAGGAGAGATTCCCCGTGCTCAAGGCGACGACCACCTCCCTGCGGGATGCGGTGTGCTCCTCCATGTTGAGTCAGCAATACGCTCTGGGAGTCATAAGCTATAACTGGAGAATTCCGGGACACCGTTCGTTGATTGGTTCACTCATTCCTCAAGACTCTACTGAACATCTGCTCTACAGAGTCGTGAACAAAACAGTTCCTGATCCCAGGCCAGTGCACACTCTAGTGGAGGCCACCAACTCCAGCCAAAAATAAATACAGTTGACAGATCAGAAATAAATACAGTTCAGCCCTGAATGATGGAGGCTGAACCCCACACAGTTCAAACCCCATGTATAACTTTTGCCTCTCCCCAAACTTAACTACGGAGAGCCTGCTGTCGAGCGGAAGAAGCCTTCCTAATGAACAGTCGATTAACACACTTCTAAAATATCGTATACCTTATAGACTGTGTTCTATATTATAAATCCAGTAGGCTGGAGAAAAAGGAACCATTTTTGAGAAAATCATGAGGAAGAGAAAGTACCTTTTCATTATTTATTGAAAAAAAGTTCTGCACACCAGTGGATGCCCGTAGCTCAAACCTGTGTTGTTCAAGGGTCAGCTGTAGAGGGTTTTTACGTCTCTTCAGAGCCATGAAGGAAAATACGGGAAGCGAGGGGGAACTGTGGGTGCAGGTGGGAGGTGGTGATGGAGGGGGGCTTAGGGAGAGTCCCCCTGGCAGTGAGTGGGGCCGTGGGAGTTGTGATCTGGGGGTGAGTAGGGACTGGATTGAGTCGGGGAGAGATGACCCAGGCAGAGGAAGAGAAATGTGTGAGGGCTGGAGGGACCGCGCGCGCGCGCAAGAGCGAGAGAGAGAGAGAGAGAGAGAGAGAGAGAGAAGTGTGTGGGGAGTTAAAGGAAGTGAAAGATGACCAGGCTGGTTGGTGAGAAGTTCACAAAGGAGCGGGGGCTTGATTTCTGTGTTGGCGGCTGTTTATATCTGGTTGCTGGGTGGGAAGGGGACCGGAGGGAGTCCTGTGAAGCCCAGGAGCCAGAGTCCCAGACAAGGTGGGGTGCCAGTGTCTCAGTGGAGGGTGGAGCTTAGATTCGGGGTAGCTGTTGGGGGAGGTGGCGAAAAATCGCACTCGACCTTGGAGGTGAGTCTTTAGAGACAGGCAGGGTTATAATCGCTGGAGACAGGAGGGGAAACACACTGTGGATCAGGGAGTGTAGGAAGCAGAGAGAGGGTTTCATACTGTGTCCCGCAGTGGCATAGACGCCAGCAGCCACTGATGTCATGCCATGTCCATGACTGTAAGCTGCTCATGGTTTGGGGGTCTGTCTACCCTCTCCTGCTCCTCCCTTCTGTCCCTTTGCAGGGCTCAGATCAGCATGGGGGGCTCAATCCTGCTTCTCGCTCCTTTCCCACCTGCTCCCCTTCCAACTTCTGTCCTCCTAAAATTAAAGACTTAGCGGCCAGGGGACAGGGAGCATAGAGATCCTGACATGGTTCCCATCAAAGTAGCCCAAAATCCTCATTTCCTTGGGAAGATCAATCACATCACGAGGTCACCAGTTCCCAGCTGGAAGCAGTAAATGACACATCCCCAGACAGGGGACAGAGAATGTAAAGTGGGGAGAGCTCTGAGCAGCAAGGGGTTGTGGGGACCTTGCTCTCTATGTCACGGGACCTCAGTGTTAACAAGATGGACATTTTTCTTCCACTAAAATCCTTCTTTGAAAAGCATCCGTGGTTAGCATTTTAGCCTGCTTCTCACGGATGCCATGACTTGCACGAATTTCTGGCTAGGCTTAGGGGACGGTGGCCGAAGTGTGCACACATTTCCTACCAGGGCCACGAGAGAAGAGTTATAGATGAATCATAGTATTCTTAAAAGCACACACTGCAGCTCTTTCCCATCCTTGGCTGTCTGGGAGCTGTGACCTGCTCCCGTTCACGACGGTGTCCCCTGCTTGCAGGAGTCTTTGCTTTGAGATCAGTGAAACATTCTCTTATGAACCCTCCTTCACAGGGAGGTCCAGCCCGGACTCAGAGCATCGGAAGCCAAGGCCAAAGGGAAACTGGATTATCCCTAAAGACAGGTTTCTCCCCCTGGAATGTCCTTGGATGCCCTTCATGTTATGTAACTACACAGAGAGCCTTGGGGAGATCAAAGCGGAGAGGATGGTGCAAGCTGTTAGCTTGTGAATGTTTATTTTCCATGTTTTTTTTTTTTTAAGCTCATTATGTTTAAAAGGCAAAAAGTTTCCAAGAGCATCAGAAAAATCCCCTTACCA